TGAGGCCGACGCGACCAGCTGGCCGTCTGGCGAGAAGGCGACGGCGTTGACGGTGTCGGTATGGCCCTCGAGCACGCTGTGGCAAGCATCCCAGTCGTCTTCCCTCTTTGACAATGACTTAATCCACCCTGGCATTTCGTCTACAAAAGCTTTCCGTACTATACTTGCTTCTGGGGCAAAAACAAGAGCTGAGGAATATATTTGTAGAGGAGCATCTTGGAGTATATGTCGAAATCGAAGAGTAAACCGTCGAGCGTCTTGGAGAAATGCAGAAAGAGCACTGTTTGATGCCTGCATTAGATGTTAGTGTAATATAGTGTTCAAAAAAAGTAGAAGCCTTACCTTAACTAGCGTAGAAAGTGTTTCTAGCAAGGGAACACATTTGTTTGTATCTCCAATTAGACTCATTGCTTCAAGCCAATAAAGGAAGTGTTTCTGGAGGAACGTATCTGCAATGTCCTGGTCGCTAACAAGACACTGGCTCTGCTTAAGGTGATACACCCAGTAGCAGCAAGCGTACTGCAATTCAGGCGACAGGCAGGTTGTAACCTTTGCTTCATTAACCTCGCTTCTCAAAGTCCCAGGCTGTAAGTCGCACATGTTCTGTCGTAGGCCGTTAGGGCTGGACATGAGTTCAAGGCAATGAGACGCTAAGCTCTCGTGTCTTGCTCTCTCATCCACCCAGAACGGGCTCTTCTCCTTTTTCGACGCATCGACAAGGAATTCGCGGAACGACAAGTGCAGGAGTCTTACGGGCGCATCATCACGGTCTGGTATGCTAAGAACGGAGTGTAGGGAATCTAGTCGGCAACTAACATCATCCTTGGAGATATCAAGGAGGCGAGCAAGCGATGCGATTGAAAGTGGAGTCTCCAGAACCACTATACTCCCCACAATATCCCGAAATTCGCACGCCCACCTCTCTCTGTCTTCCTCATCCTCTTCGTCAAACAGCTGATTGAGAATAGGGAGATATGTCGCGTCGAGGTTTGAGACTTTTGCCTTCTGATACTCCAAGATAATCTCTAGACGCTTTTTAGGATTATCGCGACGATCGCCAATGTATCGACACGCAGTAGCAGCGAAGATGAACAGTGGGACTGCTTGTTCAACTAGCGCCTCGACTTGATCCATTCTCGGCCAGCCTGAGGACAACGATCGTTCTTCCCGTACTCGTCCCAGTTCATGCTCGAAATACACGCGGATGTCGTGGTGAATTGTTTGTTTTGCAACTTCTTGCAGGATAAGGTCTTCGAATGTGCCGTTAGGCAATTTTTTGAATCCCAGGCGGATGTGCATTTCTGGTCGGCTTGTTACAAAAACCCGCAGTGATACCGACTTAAGATCCCTCGTCCGCGAAAGGAGCTGGAGGACCAGTCGTACGTCATTGTCTGGTTCGCATTCATCCAACGCGTCTATTACGACGAGCAGTACCAAGGCTGGTGGATGTGCCATGTCCAAGAGCGGATGGAGGATCAGCTTCTCGAATTGATCCTTCAGAGCCTTCTCAGATATGGCTGGATCAGCTTCGATCGCCTTCTTGATTCCAGGTCCTAACCCCGATACACGACAAGCCAGCTGTGTAGCAATGGTGGTGAAGAATCGAGTGGCGTTCCCGCGCTCCCCCTCGCCTCTTTTGAAGAAGAAGCTGGCTCCTAGTTGTTGGTGGTCGGCGAAGGTCCGGGCAACCGTACGCGCAATTGTGGACTTTCCTGTTCCTGCCGCACCATTCAGCCAGAATATTGGTTTGCTTTTTTTGTCATTTGCCCATCCTTGTATGTGACGCAGTAACTCATTGCGTGTGTTCGGAAGGCATGTCGAGTTATGTTCTTCTACGTGCGAGTCGAAGGAAGCGCCTTTAGCGGTAGGCAGTCTAGTTACATCAATCTTTGATAGGAGCGTGTCGGTTTTCGTGTCAACAAGGCTTAGCTTTTGATTGATATCGAGAATCAAACCTCTACGTGTTTTACATGTTAGCTTCTACACGTAACTTTAACGCATGTAACTTACGTTTGGTCGATCTCAAGTGCAAAGTTGAGAGTCTGTTCGTGCTCCCCTAGCCTAGCAACCATCTTCTCTACCCCCTTGCTGGTAAAGGGCCACTTGAGAGCACGGAGCCCAACCCGTGTCATAGCCTTGCGGGTCTTTCCTGGCTCTAGGTCGGCCTTTATCTCTTGAAGGTCCTTGAAGCATTGTTCGAGCGCGACAGCCAACGCATCAGTAGTAGGAAGCCGTGCTTTGCCCGGTCCATCCAGCAGCTGCTTGATCTTCTCTAGGACGCCCTTGACATCTTCCACTTTCTGTTGAAGGCGGGCGATATCGTCCTTTGCATCCTTGACGGCGACTGTGTACTGGAAGCAGAGCGACGCTACTTTGGCGGATATGTGGACGACGGCTATCACGCTTGCCACTCCGGATAGGCCATCCATGATACGGCGCACGGTTAGGGCGGCAACGGTCGTGGTGGTTCTGGAGAGGCTGTAGCGTAGGCTCGCAAGGCGGCGAGACCATTACGTGGGTGTCAAAGATGTTGCCGTTCATCTTGAGCACGGCGGGGCTGAGAAGGCTGCAGCGGCTGAAGGCTGCACATCAGGTTGGGTTTCGCAAGTTGAGAGAGGCCAGCAATGCGGCAATGCCACAGATTCATTAGCCACAGTGTGTAAATTACGCGCGGGGCTTATGTACGACTTGCACGGCAGACTGGGGCCAAAGCACCTAATGTAAGGCCGGATGTCCCAGAACGGGCCAGCATGGCCTCACCCGCCCTGTTTGGAGGTCACATGATCTGTGCTTCGTATATAAGCATGAATCCTGACAAGCGAGGCTTGGCAGCGATTCGTCTCTCTTACAATACACTCCTATCTTTCTCCGAAACCTTGCTCTCAGTGCTATCCGTGCTATCTACTATCCCATCTTTACACCTAACTTACAACTGCGAGAGAATGCACCCTTGCTCTACTGCAGAGATTACTATCTTTTCAAACCTCTGAGTCCTAGAAGGATAGGTTAATCAAGGGAGATATCACGGTTATGTTACAGCTATCCAACCCCTGAGTACCCTAAGAGCTTGGCACAGGGTATATAGACTCCTCAGCCTCCGTACCTCTGCTTCCGACCCTAAGGTTTACTCTCGTTACCCCCCTATCCTGCATTCCCTCTCTGTGACCTGTGTTTCCTGCTCGATACCTCTCACAGGAGAAGATACTCTAAGGTATTTAAAGCCGCTTAATTATAGAAAATATGCATTCCAAGTTTATCCGCGTGAAGGCTCTCTAAAGGGTTTTAGCAGAAGATCCTACTAGTGATAGCCAACTGTATTGTATTCTTAGCCGTGGCGCTCTTCTAGAAACTTCTATACACCCTCACGTGTTTGCTATCATTAGCCGCTGGCCTGTGCGCCGCGTTGTTGCCAGCTGGCCAGTGTCCTGCCGGTGTGTCGTGCTGTCCTCATCACCACAATCGTCAACATGGACCGAGCCAGCCAGGTACTGTCGCAAAGCCTCCCTCCAGGCGTACGCAGGACATATGCCGCCCTATCGGAAAGTGGCAATGTTCCCATCTCCACTCTTCACCATCGTGACCAAGGACGACGCTCGAGAGAGGAACTAGCCCAAAGCCAGCAATACCTTACCCCAGAAGACGGGAAAGCCCTTGTTAAGTTTCTATTGCTAATGTCTAGGCTTGGGCACCCGGTGCGAATCAAGTTTATGCGTGCGCTGGCGTTTCGTATCGCCTGAAATCGGTCCTCGAATAAACCGATCAAGCTTCCAGGGACGAACTGGCCGCGGGCCTTCCAGAAACGCCATCCAGAACTCAAAGCGAGGCGAGTGAAGGCTATTAACTAGAAACAACACGATAGCCAGATATATGATAAGGTCACAGAGTGGTTTAAAGTAGTTGGCTAAGCACTGCAAGATCTAGCCATTACGCCAGAAAATTGCTATAACATGGACGAGACGGGAGTCCTGCTAAGCATGCTCAGCTCTGTTAAAGTCCTTGTAGGTAAGGACGACATACGAGACTATCGAGGCGCGGGTGTAAAGCGGACAATGGTGATTGCTATTGAGTGTGTCAGTGCTGATGGCAGGGCGCTGCTACCTCTTGTAATCTGGCTAGCGTCAACCCACTAAAGCAACTGGACTACCTTCCTAACCCCTGGATGGCATTATAGACATTCTGAAAACGGATACAACGACTTGAAGATTAGTTTAGAGTGGCTTACGCGTGTTTTTAATCCACAAACTAAAGTATTAGCTAACGGGAAACTACAAATGCCTATATGTAATAGCTTTGGGACCCACGAAACCCTAGAAATCTTGGAGTTTTGCTTTTAGAACAACATTGTCCTATGTTGTCTCCCCTCTTATACCTCCTATAAGCTCTAACCCTGTGACGTTGGAGTCTTTGCCTTGTTGAAGACAGCCTATTGCGACGAGGTTGAATGACTAAATTGAGGAGGTATAGACAAAATTGGTAAGGAGCATTTTACCTCTCTATACAAGCCTGCACGGGACAGAGCGTTGACTAAGAGGAATATCATGGCCGGGTGGACTGCAACTGGGATGTTTCCATTTAATCTGGAGAGGGTACTTTAAGGAATACAGAGGCCCCCAGCTGCACTCACCATTCCGAGGGCCAATAACGATGCGCTGAGATCTGGTCTGCAAGACGAAGTACGGCAAGTTCCTGTAACGCCGGTAACGCCGGTGACAACGGAGGCTCTAACATCATTGCAAAATCTGATTGAACAGGAATGCCGTAGAAGTGCCATGGAGAGCACCAGTGGAAAGGATGTATTAATATAGTTAGTAATACTGTTTAATTAGCGGTGAATGTATCTTACGCTAGGATGTTCGCAGGTTGTGTTTGAGATGCAATAACATTGAGCAAATGTCACTACAAGATGGGTCGAGAGTAATGCACAGCCACAGGCGTGACCAACAGCGCAGTCACCCACATGCCTGACTTGTTACATTACACGTTAATTACATCCTGACACCAATGTAAGATATACACATCATAATCATGTACTAGCCAAAACCGGAAATCGCTTGGATCCGAAGTACCGACAGGGGTGGCAATCTTCCATGGAATTGTGCGCCACAGCATACACAAGGCTGATGGTGACTTTCTAGAATTTTGGTAAGCTTCTACAGATTAGAGAACACCGTTTGTGTGGGCATCATAGGGTTGCAAAAGCTTGATGGTAGTGCTATACAGAAGGAAGTCTGCTTTGCTAGAAAAGAAGACTCTGTATGAATCGGCAGGGAGGCAACGATGCGCAACGTAACTTTTAGATAGAAGAGGTAATAGATGTTAAATTTTAGCTGCAATATATAACCTAAGAAGAATTGTCGTGAATTTAAATAGCATAGATTTTGAGTCGCTTGAAGTTGAAGTACCCCTTATATTTCTCGGCGCGGGGTGTTTCTCGACCCGCAGTGAGGGACGTTAAGATTGTAAAGAGATAAAACTTTCCGGCGAAGTGTATGGAAATGCTAGCTATTTCCCTCAGGTAGTATGATGAGTGTGGAAACCCCGGGGAGGTTAAAAATGTTCTTAAAGACTTGCGGGTAGTACACACTATCCTGTTTGCTGAAGACTAACTCCACATTTCGACAGCAAGACGCTGAGCAAAGTTCCCGTACCGGATCGCGAATTGAGTAGTAGAGCATCCACTGATACCGAATCCGTTCAAAAACACGACAGAATTAGGCTGACGCAACTCCCAACGTCACATCCAGAACCGAGAGCCAAAAGCTGATAATCTACACATTAGTCAAAGAGGTTCCATGCAGAGGCCTGCAAGTTCAGCCGGATTAGAATAGTATAAAGACATATATGAGACTGCAGCGTTTCTCTCGTGGCAGATAGAATCACGAAACATCTCCCTGTGACTTTCGCCGAGACTTTTTTCGTCGGTTGAATGGAGAATTTCCCTCCTGAGAGGAACACCAGCAGATCCTGATCTAGAAATTGGATTAACGCGGTAGCACATTGGCCGTAATCTCTAGACTCTGACCTGTAACTCACGTCCACGGTTTTTCACACGCTCCATTAGATCAGCCAGCCAAACAACCGATCCAATGCTGCCCATACTTCAAAAACTTAAATATAACACGGGCGTACTATAGGAAGACTCAGTAAAATAGGAAATCTCGATATTTCAGATGCCCCAGCGGCTTGAGGTCGATCATAAAATAGCTGTGGCATAGTCTTGTTCAGTGGGGGCTACTCGTTCAGCGATGCGAGGATAGCATGGAGGCACCACTAGATCTGTCTAGTGAGCTATGTTCCTGTGAACTGCCTGACCCAAGCGTGAGAAAGGAATGATATGAAGGTTAGAAATAAGAGCCGATAGCGGGGATGTGCACTTCTGAAAATCGATGAAGTGGCGAAATCTTCCAGTTAAGAACAAGACCGGTGATGAATTTAGCAATAAATTCGACATTGAAATTAGAATTCGAACCGGCACCTTGGTATTGTATGTGACAATTCTAACATTCATACCGGGGGCAGCTTCCTATCGTAGACAGTTGTTTCATACCTTGTACCTCTTTGGGGTCTTCATGTCGTCAATATTGACGAAGGAAAATTTTAAGTTAAGGGGTCGAGACCAGCTGGGCATGATTGCTTCCATCCTTCTAGGTTCTGCCTCTGGATGATTGGTTTGTTGTGCGAATTTATTTTGGAGAGATTGGCTCCAAAGTGTCTCTTCCGTGTGGATTTTACGACATCCTCTTCACACTCCTGGCCATTTCATGCCTCCTGATAACTCTATGGAGCATTTCCCAGCGTTTTTGATGCTGAAGAGATTTTAGAAATGGGGTTCTAGTGATTCTTAAATGCCAGGTGCCAAAGATGACTTAACGAGGCTGATGAAACATGCCTTCCGAGCATCGTGGGAGGGGCGATTGAATTCCACATAGTATTCTGTCTGGCTATTGCATGTTAGTATCGGGATGCGATGTAGGCTTTCTTACAACAAGATGATGGCAAGTACACATCTTTTCTAGAGGAATAGAGTAGCAAAAAAAAGGTACCGAAAGGGAACTATACCATAATCAAGTGCACGTCCAAGATTGCCCAGTACTAACATAAATTTAGTTTCCTAACAATACCTCCCCACTTCCATGACTAGTAACAGAACAAACGCTTGCTTCAGCCACGAAGATGCCAGGAGGATGAAGACAAGGCTTGGCTGCTCGATGAGCCTTATTTTTAGATGCGGAAGACGAAATTTGGGTTCGATGAAAGTTGAGCCAGGTTTCGTGCTTCAATTCGAAGTTTGGAGGCGTCATATATATCCTAGCCGGAATAGATCAAGCTGGGTTGAATGGCAGCTTGGTATTTCAGGAAGAGGATCCTTTGCCTCCCTCACTCTTCTAAATAATGCACTACTACGCCTCCTTCGTGTACTCAGACAACAAATCTCAAGAGAACAATCTACTTACTGTCAACTTGGAAGATGGACCAGTCTAGAAGTTTTCTGGCGGCTAACTAAAGCGTTGCCAAAATAAGGAAACTGTCGTCTCAAGGTGACTGTTCCCTGTTCGTCCGGCTGCTCTGAGCACTGAGCACGATATGATATGAGCTGCATTTTATATATGCTCTAAATTTCCTCGACTGAGACCAATATGTGTGGATAAAGTCCATGACCCCTTGCCCTTCTCTCTTACATATAAAGGCTCTCTATTCGGCCCATATTCTAGCCCAAACATCCCATTTTGCTGTCAACTTCGTCTTCATTGCAACCCCTAGCGGCCGGAGTCTCTTTGTCCTTACCATTCCTCTTGATCCCTTCATCATGCGGATACCGCAAGGAATCTTGCTCTTCAGTCTCTTCGGTCTCGGACATTCTCATTTCGTCCTCCAAAAGCCAACTAGTCTCGGATTCGACGACGATGCGGAGAGCACTGGCCCATGCGGCGGGTTCACTGCGACGGACCGAAGCAAAGGTGTCACAGACTGGCCCATTGCTGGCTCGTCTATTGAGATACTCACTACGCACACCACAGCAACATGGAATTTCAAGGCCGCCCTCGTCAGCAACACAAGTAACTGGGTGCCACTGACTCCCCCTCTCATCCAAACGGCTGGCGTGGGCACGCTCTGCGAGCCGCAGATTCCTGGACTGAAGGGCTGGGTTGGAAAGCCGGCCGTGCTGCAAGTCAGCCAGAGCGGCCACGACGGGAACCTGTACCAGGTAAATGTGCTCTATGAAGCGCAAAGGATGTCTCATTAATCTGGTTCCAGTGTGCCGCAATCCAATTTGTGACAGGCGGGTTAGCAACACCAGGGTCATCGTGCACCAATTCAACTGGGATTGCTGTTAAATGGTAGATTTTTTGCGGAGATGCTATGGAGACCACATTGCTAGCTTAACACTGAACTCATTACGCTAGGAAATGCTGTCTGGCAGCGGTTTGGGCATCAAAATGGGCATTGAAGTTTCTTACGTCTCGCCACTGCTTTTATAACTCACTTCCCTCTTCATATCACAATTGTGAAGGAAATTTAATCTCGTTGCCTTTGATATGAGATTCTCTGTAAACAAGGCTGTGGTGGGATTCTATAATTATACAAACTCTTACATAGATTACTCTAATATCCTGGCTCTGATTTGAGAACAACATGCTCAAACGTTCTCAACACCAACGAACCGCAAGCCCCAGACACAACGAGCAGTGCAATTAGACATCCAGAGTATAATAAACGACATGCACCCTCTGCATACACGAGCACCTCTGACACTTGCGTCACCCTAGGCGGTATGCACCTAAGTTGTCTCCTTTTCGCCCAACCCCTAGTCAATTTTCTCAATAGTCCTCAGAAGACTTTCAATCTATGCCCCCCCGATATTTGGTTGACTCTTCTACGTCCCGTGCCTCAACACTGCAGCCTCACGAGAACTGGAGCGAAATCGGTAGGCATTCAAGTCTCCTCTCCAACACCCAATTTGAGAAGAGGCTTGACCTTTTCCAGCGGAGCGGCCACTCAACTTCAGCAGAACGGTTGCCAACGCAAAGAGAAATACAATCGGGAAGGATTGGTGTTTGATCGCTCATTTCTTAAGCACCTAGACACTCGATGAATATTTGTTAGTTGGTGTGCTTCTTACATGGCCCTGAGAGAAAAGACGAGGCCATGTGTACAGATCGAAGACAGAGGCGACAGCTGAGCTCGGCGTAGAAGCTGCAAGGAGGAGTTCCGATAGCGTGCACGTGCACAGACCATGACGCTAAAGTGAAATCTTGGCCAGTGCTGGCGATAGATCGATCCGATTCGTGGATCGATCCGAATCCACGCTATCCTGAATCTGGATTGGATCCTTGAATTGATTCATAGTCTTGGCTAAAAATTTGCTTCCCCATCAACAAAACAACTTTAAAAGTCTTGTACAATAGAATCCTATAAATTAAGCTCAACTCCAGTGCCCGAAAATGAGGGCGGTGACATTAGAAACTTTGTACGACCACTAATGTCCAATAAACCTACTAAACAAAACAGCTGGCTTCTCTAATACTGCAATTTCCACAATTGCAACTACGCTTTAGAGGTTGTTATAAACTTTTAAAGGCACTTAAAATCTAACTACTAAGTTTTAGCAAAGGGTACTCTTTCTCTTGTACAACAAGCAGGTGCCATTAAACTCTAAGAGCTATAGGACTGCGCAGAACCTTGCACAAGAGGAGATATACAGAATGCCGCGTTTAGAGCCTATCTAGACAAAGATATTATTTAAAAGGCTCTTATACAACTAATTGTTTAACAGCGTTTTGCTCTCTTAGTTGTTAAATTATTGTCCTTTTAGGCTTTTATACAAGCATTAAATCTTGTTGCTAGAGAGGCTATTTTAGTTTTACACTTTACTATTTGTACAGCAATCTAAAGCTATTAGTATAAAGAGAAGCTTATTCTTTAGCGCGAGATTTAGACAGCAACTTTAAAGATTAATGTCGCGCTTAATTTCTAGACCTCTCTAAACTAAATCCTATTTATTGCAATTACTAGACACTTTGTATAAAGCTTAGATAATACTGTTACTAAACACTTTCTTACTTTACAACTAGTCTTAGGCTATTCTAGTAAAGAACAGTTCTCTGTACTTTGTACAGTACTTAAGGAGTACAAGATTACTAGAAATCTAGGAGCAGTTGTTAGAGACAATGCTAGCACTAATAACACTCTCTGTTGTATAATTAGCAAGTAGTATTCTAACAAACTTAATCTGCATTAGGATCTTAAGAATAAGAAAGTTTGCTGTTTTAGTTATATTATTAATTTTATTATGCAAGCATTTCTGTTTTTAAGTTTATACAAAAGTTATCTTAAAAATCTTAAAGCTGCAGACTTTAAAAAGGCAAATAGATTACCCTCTAATTCTGTACAACAAGATATAATTAGAGCTATTAGTCCCCTTAGCAAACTTTATAACATTATAGTCTATATTTGTAGTTTAGGGCTTTGTACAAATGAGTTTATCTTACAAGCTAGACAGATAATACCCTTAGATAATTGTACAAGATAGAATAGCTAGTATTACATAATTAATACAGCAATTAAGCTTAAAATGCATGTGGATTTCTACATTAAAAACTAACCTAATCTTAAACGCAATACTTTAGAGATAAAGGATTAGAAAATGCTTTGTATAATAAAAACATTCTTGCAGATTTTTAAGGATGTAATCCTCTAAAATAAAGGAGATGCAAAATGCCTTAAATAGGCTCTTCCTTCTCTATAGATCTTACAGACTTACACAATAGCTTTCCTAGTAAAACATAAGAAGGGAGATACACAATTTAATAAAGATTGTGTTGTACAAGCTACCTAGGCACTTACAGCATAGCAAAAATAGTAGGACTTACTTTAGAAGCATCCTCTCTACTAAATTGCAACAGTTTTGCATTCTTATTATTATACAAACTAGGCTAATAAGGTAATGCTTGCCTTAAGGTTCTCTGCTAAAGACTAAAAAGCATAGAAAGCTTAGCTAAAATAATTTTAGCTTAATTTTTAATCTAAACATTAAGATTTATTATTAACACCTCTCTAAGGTAAAGTGTAAGAGTAAAGAAGATAATAGGCTACTTGTTATACAACAGCATAGATTATTTATAAAGTCTAGGATTATTTAATTAAAGCTATAACTAAGCAAATTCTTAGTAATTAGGCTTTAGTAGAGAATCTAGATAAGTAGGCAGAGTATATAGAAGAGCTAGCAACAAAGGGGGTTAAAGATGTGTTAAAATAGTAGTAGAATAACGTATAACAATCTTAGTAGCCCCTTCTTACTTATCTTGCACTTAAGATCTACTCTATACTACCTATAAGTAATAAACTAGAACGTATCTTCTCTAGAGCACATTATATAATCTTTTAGACTTAAGCATTATTAAATTCTAATATTATTAAAGTAATTAAATCTTTAAATTACTAGTTAAGTTAAAAATAAGTAGACTATTTAAAGGGGTAAAGATTTTTATTTTCTATCTTATTCTTTGCTTATAAAAAGACTGTTAATTCTAAGTAATTTATTATACAACGTTCTAGCGCCTATTCTTATTATTGCTCTCTAGCTCCTTAATCTTATACAGGTAATCTATAACAATATTGTTCGCACTAGAAGACGAAGTTGCTGGGGGACCTATACTATTGTTAGGTGTCGGACAATACTAATTAGGTCAAGAGCTATTGTGGTGACTGCAACAGGCAGCCTAATCTTTAAATTTGCAATTAGCGCAAGCGGCTGCCTACTTAGACAAGAGTAAAACACACTCTAAAAATAGACTACAGTAAAGATAGCTAGCACACTCTACTATGCAAGTTAGTTGTTGTATAACATGTAAGATAGAAGGCATATAGCAAGGTTCTATGTTAATAGTACTGCAAGTCTAAATTAACACTGCATTAACATATAACAGGCAGTAGGTATTTAATTAGAAGGCATAAAGAGTGCTGCTGTAGTATTTAACATTGTTGCAGGGTGCAGAAAGAACCTGTTTCTGCTGGATCTAAAATTGTTAGCTTATCGTACAATAGGGGGAGTAACTTACAGTATGCGCTACGACTCCCAGAGCTGCTTGTACGTTTGGGTTGGAGGCAGCAGGAAAAACCTGGATGCATCTTTTGCAGCCATTAGCGCCATGCTGCTCCTAGCTATTTTCATTGTTCTCCTTAGCGTTCTAAATTGCAATGTCTATGTTTTTGTACAATAAAATAAAAAGAAGATACTTTCTGTAATGCGTGTTGTATAAGGCAGGGCTTAATATACATTTCTCCCTTTATTGTTTAGATTTTAAGCTATTAACTGCTCCTATTGTAAATAGAATCCTATTATCCTAAGCTAAATTTTTATTAAATGTTTGTTGTACAACCTATTAAGAGTACAATAGCACAAAAAATTAAGTAAAAGACTAATTGTTTAGAATAGTTGCCTATTTAGCCTTAGCGCTGGATCGATTCATGGATCCGATCCAGATCCAGGATAGCGCCACGTGATTCCGGATAATCGATTCGGACCGATTCCCGCCAGCACTGATCTTGGCATTCGCATGAACTTTTCGAAATCTAGTTGGAATCGCAAGTTTCACTTGCAACCCCAACCCTTTGATCAGGTTTTCGTTCCAGTGACTGCTCTACGGGTGATTATAGTACAAATTAGCATGGCATCGCTCTCATTCTCTCCCGACGCCTCAATTTCCTCCCACACACTCTCCGCTGGCTCTGCCCAGCCTCCGCCCATGGACCTCCAGAATTCCTCTACGAATCTACTCGCCAGCCTTCTCCAATCGCCGCATACCTTCTTGCAGCCTACATCAACCCTAAAAGGCTCATTCCTTGCCGCCACAAAACAATACCTAGACCCGGTAGCAACTGGCGTGAGCCAAGTGCAATTACAGCGACAACAAGATCTGCGGAGGAAAAGGAAGAGGGGCGAGGGCCGTGATAGCGATATTCACGTCTTGCACTTAAAGAAGTTACATTTGGAGGGTTTTGGGGTTGGCCAAGTGTTCGAGCAGTCGAGGAAAATTCTGGATGCGGCGACCGAAGAAATCGAGCTTTCACTACTTCAGGTAGAAGATAGTCAACTGGCAGTCACAAAAAGGCCTGATTCCGAAGGATCGGGGGAGGAAGATGATGAGGTCGATGGAGGCCTGAGCGACTCTAGCTTAGGGAAAGAAGGGGTAGATTGGGAATACGATGGCGACGAGGTTCTTGAAGATGAAAGTGCATTAGATGGTGAGGAAGCCTCAGAGGAGGAGCAGTCTGGCGATGAATATCTTAAAATGGCAGGAGGAGAAGAGGTTACTTTTTCAGATGAGGACGAAGAGGACGATGAGCCTGTCGAAACATATCGCCCAGATCCAAACAACCTCAACGATGGCTTCTTCTCTATCGACGACTTCAACAAACAGTCCGAGTTTTTAGAGCAGCAAGATGCAAGAGGAGAACCGCCAGTCACTGACGACGAAGAGGTTGATTGGGATGCGGACCCTCTTGCGGCAGCTCCGAAAAGTGGAAGGAAGAGGGGTGATGATGACTTTTCCGATGAGGAATCAGACGAGGAAGGTCCGACATTTGGAAACGTTGATCTTAATGCCCCAGAAGGCGATAGTGAGGATGACGAACCACTTGAAGACGGGGATATGGACGGTGTCGACAACATGACTAATGCTAACAACGTGATGTACGCCGATTTCTTTGCACCACCAGCGAGGAAAGCAGGCAAGAACAAGAAGAAGCGAGGACGTCCAAACCCACATAACTTCCCCTCGGCAGCAGATTCGCAAGATAATAAGCCCGATTTTGAAGAAGACGATGTTGAACGGACCATGTCTGCTGTACATCGCGATCTGTTCGAAGATGACGACGATGCGGAATCTGATGGCAACCTCACAGACCTAGATCCCTCGGACCCCAAATTGCGACGTTCAACCCATGAGCGAAGGCAAGCAAAGCTCGCTGAAGAGATCCGGCGACTGGAAGCGGCCAATGTTGCAAAGCGTGGCTGGCAAATATCAGGCGAGGCCCGCGCTGCCGACCGGCCTCTCAATTCTCTCCTAGAAGAAGACCTCGAATTTGAACGTGCCGGGAAGCCCGTTCCTGTAATCACGGCCGAAGTCAGCGAAGACATTGAAGCACTCATTAAGCGACGGATCTTAGCTGACGAGTTCGATGAAGTACGGAGGCGTCGCCCAGATGATCTAGCAACAGGTCCAAAGGTGCGACGGGGACAGTTTCAACTTGACGATACCAAGTCTGGAAAAGGTCTCGCAGAAATCTACGAAGAAGAGCATCTGCAACGAACAGATCCAAATTACGTCGATGTCAGAGACGAAAAGCTAAAGAAGGAGCATGCAGAAATCGAGACATTGTGGAAGAACGTGTCGAGGAAGCTGGACTCACTCAGTTCGTGGCACTACAAGCCCAAGCCTGCGGCACCAACTCTTGAAGTCCGTGTCGATGCGCCCGCTATCGAGATGGAAGATGCTCGACCTACTGCTGGTGGAGAAGTGGCGGGTGCAAGTATGCTTGCTCCTCAAGAGCTATACAGGCCAGGCGATGAGAAGAATAAAACTGAAGTCGTTACCAAGGGTGGTATGCCGATTGCTCGAGAGGAGATGACACGGGAGCAGAAATTGCGTCGCAGGAGAAGGGAGAAAGAGAGGCAGAGTAAGGCTGCGCTTAATACGACTGGGAAAGAGAGTAGAAAGGAGAAGAAGACAAAGGAGAAGAAACAGTTGATTGGTGATTTGAAGAAGGGTGGCGTGCAGGTTATTGGCAAGAAGGGAGTGATCACAGATGTTGAAGGAAAGCAGGTGAGGGAGAAGGCAAGAACTGGAGCAGGTAGCCTGAAATTGTAAGGTGAAGAAGAGAGACGTCTGTGGTCTTTGCTTATCTTGATACCACCACGTTGTGTACTTCAGACATCTTCGAATCCAATTCCCTCTCGAGATCTGTTCATTCACAATCGAGTCGTTTAGTCATTGCTTTCATATCGTTACGAAGTGATCAGTTCTGTGCCCTCACATTCTGCGGTGTCTCTTAGAATTCGCCTTTATTTCTAAAAGCCCCTCACAGTTCACCTAGGGAAACCTAATAGAGGCTCCTATACGTTTCATTCTCGCTGTAGACCCTTGCGAGCTCTTCATACCTCTTTCGCATTCCCCCAGCTATTGAGCATTGCCACGGTGTCTCCCACAGGCGCTAGATTTGCTGGCTGCTTAATATCACCTTACACTATTTGAATACGAATTTTGAAAGCATGATAAAACTCCTGACCTTGGCTGCTGCTGTCGCTGAGATGAGACATCTTCCGCGGCAGAAGCAAAGATCTGTAGTCCCTTGGATTAGACAAAATTTCAAAAGGTTCAGTTGATGTTTCGTTACGGCATATCTGCTTGGAGGTAGGCATGTTCTCTAATGAGTTACGTCATTAAGAACAAGACGAAGACGCTAGTGAAAGTTGAAAGAATGTAGATGCAGACCGAATGGTTTGGCCGTTCTCTCTTCCTACAGGTACAACTCTTATTCGTTACATTGACGCCAAGATGCGTATCATCATCTATTCCCACGCATTAACATATAAGGAACTACTTATAAAAAATAATGCCTAGATGTACGACGATACCATGACGCGGCGGAAAGGGTTGCAGCAACAGCCTGAGGAGGCACAACGCTTCAGTGCCGATGAGTTTGGAATTCGCGCTAGTCCTAATCAAGAAGACTATGGTTGCAGTAGCTTGATGAGAAATCCAAGGTTCGTTCCACGACGGGGCAAATGAGAATTTTTCTTTTATCTTCTGTAACATCCTTGATGCCTGCGAAAGTTGGTTCTCCTAAGACGTCTAGATATTTGTCAAGGTTGGTCGTCAAGGAAAACCTTGGCAGTCTCAAGCACCGTTTCTTTTATGTGCGTTTTCTCATCAATTTTTTATTAAGGCTTCTTAGTTATTTGGTACCTATATTACGTGTAAGAAACAATTTTATGCGAAATCAAGATTCTACTTACAAGAAGATGTTCTCCCTTGAATATACCTCCCTATCCAGATCATCCTGTACCTCCCTTACTTCAAACATCTTCCTCGCAGCCTTCATAAACTGCAGATCTGCTCTCCTTCTCTTCTTGAAGCAAAAGTAGCATATTGTCCTCTCGCCGATCAGATGCTTAAGCGTTTGCTGGAGGAGCGGAAAGGCTGGCTCAAAGTACACGCAATCAGCCGCGAGAATCACATCCGGGTGAATTGGCACAGTGGGCGGGGTGGGAGAGCCCCAGTCATAGATTACTGCGGTGACTTTTGAGGACAGGTTGTTGAGAGATATGTTTTCTTTCATGAGGTCGAACATGGGGAGCTGGTCGGTTATGTGGATTGTGGTGGTGGTTTGACAGCCAAGTGCTACGGCTAGGCTGGGTGAGGCAATTCATCAGGACCAGAACACCGAGGGGTAATTTTAGGCATGATACAATGCAAAGAGCTCGGAAAGGAGAAATTTTTGACCTACCCAACAAGTCCACCGCCTGCGCCGAGTTCAACACTAGGTAACATTAGCCAAATTCCTATCATCATCATGGTTCCAGAATCGTGACTACATCTCCTTTCCCGCCAAGTTTTCTCTATGCCTCCTTAGCATGTACTTGCTCAATACCATGCCTGCCGGCCATAGCTGCCCTCCACATCCATTTTTCTTATCTTCATGCAGCTTCAAAGACGGTGATAAAAGTCCGTCGAAATCTACCTCCGAGATGCCGGCAGGCTTGATAACAGCTGAAGGGATCAAATCTTCGCTGACCCTGAACATATCGTCTTCGTTGTCTGACATCCTTGCTTCGGTGCTGTAGAGGGTGGATGGTGGTGAATAGAAAGATTTGCTCGAAGAAAGATTATGCGTTTAAGAACGCTAGGCCGAATATGGTATAGTCATCCGTATCTGGAAGTCGAGACGACACAGTTTCTTTCTACCACCCTTCTTCTCCTGGTGCAATATTACAATTGAGCGGGCAATAATCAATCAGATATGTCACAAGAGCATGCACCATTCGTAGGATATTAATTGGGCGTCTAGGACAATCCCGAGGTCCCAGTGTCCCGTCCTCTTCCCTTATCAATTCCTTATCTTCCGGCGCATCCTTCAACCTCACGCATTGTTTCACTCTGCAGACTCAACTACCAATTGCAACTGGCTATGTTGTACAAATTAGCCGCCCGTTTTTCTCGGCATACCTCGTCTTGGTAATGGCGTCCAACCTGCGGGCACAGTACCGTTCCCAGAAACAGGGCGTACCTGAATTTCTGATGTCCAGCCCTCCCAGGGTTTCTTCAACTTCACCGACCTCTTTCTATGACTGAGTCTGTTTATTTGGTGTCCAGTTAACTAGAATTGTTGTGTTTGGGACAATTTCTTTGAGTCATGGCTCTCCCTGAAGATGTGCTCAAGGCCTGGGAGGCTTGCGACCGAACTGACACCCTTTCGTTCTCGTCTGCTCCGTCTTCTGTATGCTCCCGTTCCTTCACCCTTTAATAGTATCCCTCAATTCAATCTTCTCTATTGTGATCAAGACTAACCGCTAAGGTTGGGGGATCATACCCGCAGTCGGCGTCGCTTACTCGGGCTACTGTACGCGCTCCAACAGCCTCGCCGCCTTCATGCCCGCTGTTCTCGCTGTCACCGTGTGCTCCGTTCAATGGTTCATCATTGGATACTCTCTTGCCTACAGCGAAGGCAATGCCATTGTTGGAGACCTGACATATGTATTCCATAGTGGAGTGCTGGCCGAGCCCGTAGGAACCATTCCCGCAATTCTATTCTCATTCTTCCAGCTAGTGTTCCAAGCTACAGTCTGTGCAATTGCTGTTGGAGGGGCATGTGAGCGTGGGCGGCTGCTACCGCTTATTCCGTTCATTTTCGTAAGTTCCACTCAGCTTTTCAGTATATTAAGTTTCCCATGCTGATCGGAAATGATAGCTCTGGTCAACATTCGTATACGACCCATTAGCCCACATGGTCTGGGGTGGCGGCTTTCTAGAAGACCTCGGTGTCCTCGACTTCGCAGGTGGCACCCCTGGTAATTATCCTTAACCCTACTTTACAATTCCAGCCGTGACTAAGCTGCAGAATAGTCCACATCAACTCCGGGGCGACTGCAACAGCCCTCTCCGTCTACCTTTCCTACCCACTCTTCCGTTCCCGCAAATCTAGCACACGCACCCCATCACATCTCGTCCTCCACCGCCCCGTCAACTCCCTCTGTCAGGTCCTAGCCATGATCAGCATCTGGGGCTCATGGCTCGCTTTCGACGCTGGCACCACGCTAGCATTCAACTTCAAATCTGTGATGGCGCTATGCGTAACAAACCTCTGCGCTGCATCTGGCGCTCTTACTTGGATGCTGATGACATACTCAGAAGTTGGACGCTGGAGCCTAGACTCGTGCTTCATGGGCGCAATTTCAGGGCTCATAATGATCACGCCTGCTGCCGGATTCATTGACATACCCACAAGCTTCTTCTTTGGGATCGCAGGTGCCGTCGTGTGTAGACAGGCGTTGAGGATCAAGTTCACGGAGACAGCAAGACGGTGGAGGTGGGTTGACAACGGAGATACATTTGCTACGCATTGCATTGGCGGCATCCTCGCTACAATTGCAACGGGCTGTTTTGCAAGGAAAGAAGTCGCGGGATATGATGGTGCTACGAATATTCCAGGCGGTGTGTTCTTCGATGGAAATGTGCGGCAATTAGGCGTGCAGATTGTGGAGGCCTTGGTGGGCTTCTTCTGGTCGTTTGTGGGAAGTTATGTCATCTACGCGTTGATTGATTGCGTCCCGGGATTCGAAGTCCTGGCCGAGGACATGTACGACCTCCCCAGCCCCCGATCTTGAGCTTCTTGAGGAGAACTTGGCTAATTTGATATTTCTAGGGATATAATTGCAGGCCTCGACGCTTCTCAGATGGATGAGGAAACACTGTGGATGCCGAGTCAGAAGTATTATCCATTTGCGGACAGGGAAGGTGACGTCCATTTAGATTGAATTTCCGAGGAAAACATTTCTCATAATCTAGCCAGAGTACGTATCTACAATATATACATGTTTATCGGAGCACGCATACTCGCGTCTCTACATCATCAAAAAGGTCGAGATACTCTTGATGCAAGATATAAATACCGATACGCCGATACTCCTCATCATCTCCTTCCACCCTTTGCAGCAACAATCCAGACCAATTATCCTCCATATGTGTCAATCCACGAGCCTGCCGTTCAACCTGCAAGCAGTATACGATTTCTTTCCCGCGCTCTTCAGGGTGATCAAGACATGCTACTGCAACATCTTCCATGGAATCTCCCAGTCGCACGTCGAAAGGAAAAGTCGACGGCAACCCTAGCTCAGACATATACGGACGATTACAGTGGGGACCATGGGTTGTGGCCACAATGACCTTGCAAAGGAGATCCAACCGTGCTTGCCTGACCTCTCCATAAGGGTTCACTCCAAGAAGCTCAACATCGGCGCCTAATAGCCGGAAGATCGAAGCTGTTTTCTTGGGGTTAGAGGCGTTCATCTCTCCACCTCTTTGGGTACGCCAAACTACTTGCCCGTCGCATTTCGCCCAAGACCACGACGGTGTTCGTGAGGGGTGACACATGTGATTTCTCGTCTCGCTATATCTCCATAAAAGGCCGTGCGCGAGATCTTCTTCCCATATCCCGCAAAGATAGCGGTCTGAGACGTGAGGAGATGCCAGGGACAGCATTTCGGCGGCGATACCAGAGAGTGCAGGGAGTTTGTCGGACGCATATGTGAGTTTGCGAGAGGAATACTGGGCAGCGATTATGTACCACCAGGTATAGAGCTCATGCATGAATGATGGGCCTCCTATCTCCTCCGCAGGATCCTCACTACTTTCTAAAAATTGCTCTCCGTCGCTCGTTGATTCTTCTTCTACACAGAAAAGACCCGGGTCTGGTGGCGTAATGGGCATATGAGGGATCTTCTCCCCAGTTTCTGACAACTTGTGTGCGTGGCATTCCCAGTAGATCTGGTGCTTTGAAAAGTGTATAACGCATCGAGCCAAGAATCGTTCTTGCATTGTCCACGCGCGGTCATTCCATGTGCTACTTTCGACCGCTTCTTCCCAGTGCGACGCCGTGTGAGTTGTTTCCTGGAGTATCAATTCGCCAGATTCTTCCGAGGCAGATAGTGCAGGGAGCAATATCGCAGTCCTTGAGTCGTTCGTGCTATACTTCAAAAACCCATCTTCGCTTCTGCTCGCGGACGTCGCAGCAATGGTGACAAAGGCGTTTTTATAGATGTCGCCCATTTTCGCGCCTTCCTTCTCCCAGTCCTCTTTCGAGTCTTGGATAATGCAGAGTGAATCTATCCAGAGGTAGTGAAGCCCCAACATGCGAGTCACGGTGACGGCGTCTTGGAAGTTCTGCGGCATACTGTTGGTGGGGCTAGTCAGTGCTGTGATAGCAAGAAGACATAAAAAGAGAATCTGATATACCTTTCCAAAGGAATTTCACGACGCATAGATTCGATATTAACAGATGTCGTTCTCAGCAGCCTTGAACCTGGAACCAATGGACCCCAACAGTGACTAAGAGCCACATAGGCAACTTCTTCATCCCCAGTAGATAGAACGAGGTGTGGGTTTTGATTCCTTTGGCTAACATCAACCACTCGAGTAGGAAGACCAGAGCATGATTCCTGATAGCATGTACTATGTGTCGTTGCACAATCCATGACCCAGCCTCGGAGAAGCTGGGCACAGCTCTCGCTCGTCCTGTCTATGTCAGGAGCGACACGCTTAATGTTGAACCTGCCCGCAACACTAGATCCTAAACCCCTTGGTCACAACAGATTCGCGATCCACACAGATCATATAACTCACATACCTGGATAAGAAAACATTTCAAACCTCAAAGGAGGGAGTACTCCAACCCCATCGACTTCCACGTCCAACTCAAGGAGATAGAGCCCATTTTCCTCCTCCGACAATCCGTACGTCAGAATAGAATGCGCCCAAAATCGAGCTCTGGGACCGATCCGAAGCGAGAATGGAGTGGATTCAGTATCAAGCGGCCATCTCTTGTGAATAGACTTCAGCAAGGCTTTGCAGAACCGGCATCCCTTATCCGCAGAAGCTGTGATACCTAGGCAAGCAGGCAAGGTGTCTTGCTGCTCGTATGAAACCGAGATGTTGTCGTCACATAGAGTGGAAAAGTCTGTTGGCTCAAACAGTGGCTGACATAGCTTGCATAGCATGTTGTAGAGAAAGAACTATTCCGCTTTTGGTGGGGCTAGTGATTATTTCAGGTATATTCACATTGATGGGAGCGCGGGGGAAATTTGGTGTGGGGCAAGAAGGACCGGTGTTGCTTTGGATCCCCCCACTTCCTCTCCATTGCGAAAACTGTCTCTCATCCGTCCAAACCTGCAGTTCGCCTCATAGCCATGTGAGTGAGTACCTTCAAGACGACAGTCCAGTCTTCCAGTCTTCCAGAAATTGTTTATTCTTGGAGACTTCATTGAAGTTCGAGTCACAACGAAAGACGCACAGACGAACGATGGTGAGCACTAGGTCGAAGCGGTAGGATGCATTGGCATGCCTTCAACACAAAAAACCCTCCAGCCCAAGGAGCCCATGCTCTTTCCTCCTTTTGCCATGACCCTGAGGACCCAAAAACTCCATTACCATTACCATTATAATGCACCGAAAATAAGGCCCATTCGCCGTCGCTAATGCGTTGAATAACGATACAGAACAAGAGGAAAACAGGCAATTTCTCAACTACCAACAGCAGTATCATTCAGCGCAACACAGACGGCACCCCGGTGATGTCCATTATACTGGCGAATGATGGACTGGCTATTGAGCTCCCACAGCCTGGCATAATGGTCCGAGCAGGCAGTAACCAGATATGCCGAGTCGGCGCTAAAGGCACAATCCCAAACCCATCTCTGATGTCCATGCAGTGTAGTTTCAAGAGGAAAAGCATTCGGGTCGCGGTCGAGGGGAAGCTGATCGGCAGGTGTGGCGTTATGCGGTTGCGAAGTGTCAACGGACCATATGCGCGCAGTGTGGTCAGCCGAGCACGTAGCTAGATGGCGGACGTCTGGGGAGAGCAGGACCCGGGTGATGTAGGTCTGGTGGGCGACGAATTTGCAGACAGGGACAAGTGAGGTGACTTCGGAACGCTGGATCATACGCCAGACATAGACATTGCCCTAGTACCACGTTCAACGATTATAGTTCTCCAGGGAATCCAGAAACTCACCGCGTTATTTCCAGCACAGAGCATGGTACCATCACTAGCCACAGTAACGCTAGCTACCGAGACGTCGTCCTCAGGAATTAGTTGGTGTGAGCATTTGTTCTCGCCAAGATCCCAGATGCGGACGTTTCCTCCTCGATCACAACTAATTAGCTCGCCCTGGTTGGGATGAATAACCACATCATTAACGGGGACTGCATGAGTATAGTTCCGCTGAACACTGCCGGAGCGCGTGTCCCATATCTTGACCGTGCCATCTTCAGATGATGTCACCATCCATTTACCCTCGCAATGGAAAGCGACACCTGTGATGTTACTCGTATGTCCATCAAAGGTAAGGACGGCGTTCGGGTTAGTAGATTTGATATCGTAAAGCTTTACAGTATGATGGCCTGCGGCGGCGAGGTAGCGTTTGTCGGGAGAAATGCAAAGCCGGTTGACTTGAGAGTCGGGGTGGGGAATGGTGCGGGAACAAATGCCTGAGAGGGCTTCCCAGAAGCTGAAGGCAGCGCATTAGCAAAACGAATGTGGGGAGCCATTCGGAGCAAAGTCATGTACCGGATCGTGTGGTCATAGCCAGCTATGTTGCCAGTCAGATTGCTCCTGCCAAAGCGTGAAAGGGCAGCGACGTACCAGTACAGAGTATTACAGACATGGTGGTTTCTACTAGGCGAGACAAGAAGTATACGACGTGCGAAGGAATATGTACGACGGTCTAAAGGGAGTAGAAGGAGATGCGACCGGTGTCGAAGCGTTGAGACGTGAGAGTGAGAAGGTGTCGCATGTCCCGCGTTGAGGATGAAGATGAAGCTTGGGCCATTTCAGCACGTGCGCTCGCCCCAATTGGACGGAACGGAGTCACATGTGTCATGCATGTGTGTCGGTGAGTAGATTGGGAAGTTTTGGGTCGAGGACACGCTTGGTGGGACCACGCGAGGGCCGTCGTCTTACGTTTATGTCAGCATGTGAGACGAGTCGTGAATTGTATTTCTGTTGTGGAGGAGGAGCAGTCCAGGAGGGAAGTCTAAAAATACGCAACAACGCAATCCCATGCTCAATCGAATTGAGAGATGAGAAAGAACGCCGGTCGGAACATGAACAGGCCGCATAACCTCGCCTCCGAGCCTTCCTACTCCACCATGTCGTCCTTACAAATTATTGCAGGAACTTGAATTGACACTAAGATCAACTAAATCCTCTAGCACATGTAAAGATAACCGCCCTTGCGATCCACGTTAATATTCCGTGTCACATCCGTCATATTCTTTGGTGGTACACTCCAAGCTTTGTCAGAGCGCAGAATAATTCGCTGCTTGACAGGTGGCATCCCTGAACCCCTCAAGCACTGAAGGTACCGATACTTTCCTTTTGCTCTTTTACAAGATCCTGGAATCGACTGTCCGCTTGCTCTTGGGTCTATAAACTGAGGTGGGTAATCGCATTGGCGGGATTTGCGGTCAGAAGCATTCGAATGTAAACGAATCTTGTTTTGGAAGTCAGCTATAGCCTAGTATGTAGGATCGATGGCTCTAAGACGACTCGCTTTCCTCCGTTGCTGTGATTGATGTCTGCACTCTGACCCCATACTTCTATGACATATGTGAGCAAAGCAGAGCTGTTCTCGTCTTCTTTGTCGAGGTAGACAACCTACGAAAGCTAATTAGGATAGGATGACAGAAGGTGGAATGCTGACGAACCTTAATGTTACGCACATAGATCGTATGAGCCAATATGGGGTGGTTCCAACCCTTACCCCACTCTATTGCTTTGTCCCCATCGACAGTGCCGTACAGAATATTCATAGTTCCTGACCCGTCACCAGTCGGATCCTCGACACAAAACAAGGCAAAACTCCCGTTGAACGCGCAACCGGGACGTATCTCAGGGATATCCTTGCTGTGACCCGCTTCAAATGTCCGCATTTCATTTGGAATCTGATCGAGCATCTTCAGGAGGAGGTCAACATTGTGGCAGTAACCGACGCACACGGCAATGGCGTTGTATGGCAGCAGCACTTCAAGGAGATTGTTGCTTTGTTCGAGACTCCAGCAGTCGTGGGTACTATCATTCGCTCACACAGAGAAGAGGAAATGCTGCACGATGATTACCGGACGGCTGTAACCTCCAGCTGCGAGTTTGCGCTTCAACCAACCCAGACCGCTCTTGCGCCCGTCTTCGTGCTCGCTGCGGTAATGGTGCAATTAATACACATCGACAGCGCCGGGATTAATGACGTAGTGGAATGAATGATCTTTGTACCGGGAGGAGCCATTCTTAGTGGAATCAATGTTTTTCAGAGGAATGCCGTACCCAGCACTTCTCTCGTATCTCCTTAGATTGACTTTCTGGTTGCAGCATTTGAAGACCCGTTTAGCCTCCTAGTTACAAGGGCTCAAAAACAGATTGAACGTACCTGTATGCATCTGTGTAATGAAATTCCACATCTGATATCGGTAGAGGTCTCTAACTGGAGAATACTTATCGTCGAAGCCTCTCCATCCTATGCCAGTACTCCTTTGACAACATCAATTGGATTCTCTTCGAGATCTGAAGTGTCAGTAGATTCTCCAAGGGCCTTTGGGGACCTACCATGATTTCCCTGCCCAAAATACAATGGCCCGCAACTAGCGAGCTGCGTCACGCCACCCCTTGCGTGCCAGGGCCACAGAGAGCGCGGCAGTCTTGCAACTGACCTCCATCTGAGTAATTGTGCGGATGTTACTTTACCCCATTCGTGTTCTCGCCGCTGTTGAAGTTCCTACCAAATTAAGAAAGATCGCCAGCGAAGAAAACCCAGTTAAGTCGACTGATGGGACCGCTGCAGTCAATCTGAACGCCCCCCCCTCTTTGTAGGGTATGGCAGATTGGATAGATATTCAGTGCTTGGTTGAAATCGCTCTGCTCCCTAACTTGGCCACCTAAAGCACCTTGTTGAGGATCGGGCAAGATGAATGTGGTGACATCCATATCTGATTTCCGGTGGTTCGCTCGGGAAGAAGGTGAAAAGGGTTAATTTCCGCAGATGTAGAAATGATATAGAAATCATTTTTGTAAATCGGTGCTTACAGCTTTCAAGAAAGCTGGAGGTGCTTCCGGCCATTTTATCATAAGTAGAGCGCCGTGAAAAGCACAGTCTATATCCTCACTTGACCCACTTCACGTTTTGCAACGGATGTCCAATGGACAAAAATCCGCTGATGAGTTGTAGGCATGCCTTCGACACAAAAAAAAGGGTGCGAAGTCCCTCATTGAACCTGAGATCGATCAAACGATCATACGACGGGCAAATGCATGAGCAAGGGAAGCTCCTTTCGTATTCATCCAACTCGCTACCTGACGTCTTGGCCATGGTAGCTGCATGCGAGGATTGACTTCCAGCAACTCTAAGGTGTGATGCAGAATTGGGCCTCATGTCTCAAACGAAGATGTTTAAATAAGCATTACCAAACCCCACAGACTTTTCGCACGAGCCCCTCCCTGATCCGGGAATGTCTCTCCCACAACGTCACATTAAGCGTCTTCCACCTGCCACCCTAAAAGTTTTAGCACCCATGGGTCACTTTGAGACCCGAGATCTAAGAGGGTTAGCTTACGCATATTTAAGGAGATCAATTTTACTCCATAGATCTAGCACCATGACGGGAATAATGAGATGCTCAGGAACAGAAATCAGATTAGACTCCGATCATAGCTACCACAACTCCACTTCGTCAAAGTTCGCATCCACATAGCCACTATTCCATCTCTGTCTGAGAAGAAATTTGTATAGGCTAAAATGGGTGCTGTCCACGATACTCCAACATTTCTCTCTCAATTCCCTTTCTCCACTTTTGTCTTCCTAAATCAGAACATCCACAATCACAGACCCTAACAACTCCAATCGCAAAACCAGATCGATACCCCAATACGGTCTCTACAAGCGAGAAAACTTCTGGAAAAGCAATGAAACTCTGACACCTCCATTTAGCATTGGTACGCCCTCCCAAGCGTTTTCATACTCCGTTCTCCCGCACTTTACTGACTACTCCCAGACCCAGGCAAACTCGAAGAGCCCACCAAAGCAAGGCTCACCGAACGGGTGGTTGTACACCTCTTCCAGCATGAGGCAATCCTACACCCACATTGTAAACCTACAATCCTTTTACCGACACCGCATCATCCCACGCATGCTCGTCGACACCAATACGCGCGACATTTCAACAACGATATTCGGCCATAATGTCCCAGCGCTCATCGACTTCGCGCTAATATAAATGAACTAAACCTACCACCCGCTTAGCGAGCTACCTGTGGCAAAAGTTTCCGGGGAGCTCATGTTACCATACTGGCATAGTGCCGCTAGTTTGCAATCCATCGAAGATGTAGCAAAGGCGAACGATGAATTAGGAAAAGGTTACGCTTATTTCAACTCTGCATACCTCATGACGACTAACTAGCCCGTTCATTCTTCATACATACCTACAAATTCGGGCTCAAAGCCGGCATCCTCACTTTCAATGCCTACCAGGCCGCGTGGCGTCGCGGCGATGTGATTACCTCTAACTACGCATTTTAGCACGGCACTAGTGCTAGCCTCGGGCTCCCAGACCCCTTTTTTCAAGAACAGTTAAGGGAAATGGAATCGATCCAAAGAAACAACCTAGTGATGCCAGGGCTGCGTGTATTGATAACGTGTGGCATGGGAGGGGCGATAGCTAGTTTGGATGTGCAGTAGCAGATTTTTTATGGGGTGTCCCTCCCCTCCCCCTTCATCAAGGTGAATGGTTAATGAATGAGAAACTAATAAAGCCAGAAAATGGAAAAGGAAAACCTCTATTTAGGAAAACCTAGACCACTTTTTGTAAGATTTTCTGTTGCCAGCGGTGAAATGAAATCCCACAGTCAGCCACACTTACTTGGATCCGGGGTTAATACGCATCTAAAACTTCTATTCTAGCTCAGATGTAGACTGGCCTATACTCACATTAGACTATCGGGCCCAGTGTGTCCAACCGTTAGTTACGGAGCCTTTTGGAGGCTGTATAGTACAGTTACGGAAGAGGAGGCTGTTACTAACTAACTGTACGGAGGAGATGACGTCAGTGTACGGTTAGGATACAGTAACTGAAGTATATTGAAGTATTATGAAGTAATTGCGCTGAAGCTAAAGACTATACCCAATTAGGAAGTTGTGATACCCCTTGTGAGATCTACTGTTGTTGATCTCACTGTTTTAATGTACTCTGTAAGCTCAGTCAGCTCACTAGTAACAGCGTTGTTACGTAACTAATTCTTCTGCAGTTGAAGAGCCTCTATTGTCGACCGCGTCGTTGATTGGGATAGGAATTGGGACATCATAATGGGCAAAAGAATAACGTAGATGGCATAGTTGCTGAATTTGTTAGAAGATTGCTAACAAAACAGGCAATAACGGCATTCTCCGCATTAATCTCCGAACACGAGCCCCCTGGCCCTCAGCAACCTGCCTTCAACCGCCCAAAACCACCAAAAATCCTATATAACTACCGTAAACGGTTAGTACAGCAGCCTCATGTATAGTACAGTATACTGAGTAGATGCCCTGTACGTACGTACGTGACCAAAATCAGTGTACTGCAGTACTGTACTATTAGGTGTACTAACGGTTGGACACACTGATCGGGCCGAGTTATTATAATTGAGATCAAGTTTTTTTTGAAAAGGGTATGGGGAAGTGGAGAGAAAATAAAATGAAGACATCACAGTACAATGTCAATAACTAGACTAAAATGATATCATGGAGAGGCGACTCATGTGTCCCTAAATTTCACGAGGGGAAAGCTTTACTGATGGTAAAATATTTTCAAAGATATATAACTGCTAATGACGCAGTAGAACTTCAACTGGTGTTGATGATGAAGTGAAACACAAGAAATGGTGCCAATTTAGCCAAGCAATCTCTATACACCAATCGCGCACAGCTGTACATTCCAATGGTACGCTAAAACTTTCAGTGAAAGAAGGCAGATGCAATCCCTTTGTCGTGTTGATAAGTCACCGAGCAGCAGAACCCAAACAAGAGAATGAGAAGTAGTCAACGGTAGTTGGGGTTAAGAAAATATAAGGAGACGACGATCAGCGACCCCGTCAGGTATCATTTAGTGACTACCCTTCATTAAGGTAGTCTTGTGCCAGGATTGTGCCATTGCCATGGCCATGATCCATCATTGAATCTTGTGATGCGTGCCTGCGGCAAAACTTATCCCCACCCGCACCCTTCCTTCCCTATCATAACATAAACGATTAGAATTTGTAACCCATGCCCAGCTGCAATCCCCCTAGGCCAAAAGAACCGTCTAGCTAGTTGCGCGTACGTCCAAAGGATATCGAACATCAAGTGAAAGGTACTACTTCTCACTTGCGCCTGCGATGGGCTTGTCGGGCATGTGGGAGTCCTTCTCGGGATTTGCTTTAGCCTCGCTAGTCTCGGACTTCTCCGTCTGTACTGAAGACGGTGACTCTGTCGGCCCTGGATTGCTGCTAGCAAGGGGAGCGGGCCCGGGAGTTTCTTCGCGCGCATTACGTGCGGTATCTGTGCCATTTGAGGATCCTTCTGACTTGAACTTGTTCACCTGTGAATCTAAATCCTTATCCTCATCGTCATGATCAAACATCTCAGCGTCGCCAGCCTCGGCTGATATCTCCGTGCCATCTCCGAGGAGGATGATCCGGCCACCCAGCCCGCTATTTGGGCGGAAGCGATGATCAAGATCCATATCGATATCATCAGGGCTATCATCAATTCGGTGGTGGACTCCAGGACCGCGGAACTCGGCTATAGACATATATTAGACCTGTACTAATCGCCCTATGAGGTGGGCGAGGGTGGATTCTCAGACTTGCCATACTCTGGCGGAGCACATGGACCCTCTCCATTTGCGACTCTCTTCGCAATGGATTCGTACCATTCATCTTTGGTACGCCCTTGGAGAAGTCCAATGACAATCATGGTCATGTTATCACAGCCAACACCACCAGTGTCACTGTTCGAAGCCAGACAGTTGTCCATCATGTTCTCGCAAATGGCCGAGAGTTCCTGCTTTGCCACGATACCCCGTCGGACAAATTCGATGACAGCCTGAGACGATTGACAATCCCAAATACCTGTTGTACACGTATCAGCAAACGGTCAACAAGCGTAAGGGAGACACCCGCACCGTCGCAAGCGATGACCAAAAACTCGTCATCCTCGTTTATGTCATGTATCTCGACATCTGGAAAGGCTGTGACTATCTGGTGTTCGGGCGGGAGCTCTGCGCTCTTCTTGAATTCAAAGTCACCGATGGCGCGTGACAACGCAAGGTTACCATTGACGCGGCCAAAGTCTACAAAACCGCCCGCGGCTTGAATACGCGCTTTCTCGGCTGTATAATATGAGCGCAATTCCCTAAATGGGCCGAAAACTTACTCTCGTTCTGCGGTTTGTGGTCGTAGGAGAGAGGTTTCGCCCTGCCCTTTATCCCAAGAACGCTTCGGGAATCTCCGGAATTTGCCTGTTATGCTTAGCACTTGCCTGCAAGGTTGTTCAAGGTCAACATACCACGTATATCTTGTTCTTTGAGATAATGCCGACCGACGCAGTGCACCCTGAGACTTCCTCTTCGTATTTGGGATCTGATTCCGATGAGTCAGCCATATGTGTCAGCAGGGAAGAATCTATCGAGGGAATCCTACCGCTGAGTATTGCTCTGTCGGTCGCCAGAAAGCCATCCTGGAGCGCCTTTTTTATATCACCTCCTTTGAAGGCCTCCTGCTTCGCAATGATCTCATGGAGGTGGTCACCAGCATACAGCGCCACCTTGTCGCCACCATGGCCATCGTATACACCGAAGAAACTTAGCCGCTTATCGTCGGGTGTCGCTTTCCCATCCTCGCTCAGGGCGTGAAGGTCTAAGATTGCGGCATGGGCATCTTCCATGCTGATTCGCCAGCCCTGCATAGAAGAAACACCAAAGATAATCGAGTCGCCATCGCCGTTTGCGGATTTCTAAAGGCACAGTTCAGCTGAAGACGGTAGGGGGATATTGAAAGGTCAAGCAATCTGCACACTGTAGTGAACTGTTGCTAACGCAAGCGAGAGGATGAATTGGGGGTGCGGGGGCGGGGAGAGGGAATTGGGCGGGATTACCTTGTCGACCACCGGCTCCGAGAGAGTCTGACCCATTCTGTCCGCTTTCTAAGAGGACTTGGTGAAAGGGTTGGCGAGAGTGGTATGAACGTGGACCGTGTTGCGCTTCGCGGGCATGCAGTAGATTTGTGCAGCGTCACTAAGCTGTTGTGGGGGGTTCGCCGGGGTACGACAACGACGGCCGGGGTGAAAGGCGCTGGCCGCGGGTGGAGAGTGAGGAGAAATAGAGGGGGAAGAGGGAGGGTTGTGAGGAGAGTGAAGGGACAGGGCGGGCAGAGGAGCTTGTGTGGTCAAGGAGTGCACAGTGTCGTGTGTGTTGGTAGAGCAAAGAAGTCCAGAGGCTGCCCGCGGACTTGCACGCTAATCCTGATTGGGCAGGCTGAGCCACGCCTCGATTTTGTCGCCGTCATCCTCACCATCACCCTCTGTTACCGGTTTTCCGCCTATTCCAGCGCTAGGCTAATCATTTTCTGTCTTTACCTTGCATGTCAGATAGTTGCCTTGGGAGCAAAGCGCTTCCGCATAACACAGAAGCTGCATTGATGCGGCGGTGCAGGGCGCTTCCCCAAGGCACCAGTCCCTGGATGCACGTCGGTGAATTGCAGCTTCGCTCGCGTGCCTGTTTCACTGTTTTGGCGAGATTCCGCGTGGAGGTGGCAGCTCTGAGCGAGTTACTTGTGTGCAGTACCTATATACGCGTAGACGTCACGCGCCCAGCCTTCCCAACAATACCTCAGCCTAGCTGAAGCAATTTCGTATCAGGCAAAATGGACAGATTGGCCTTGGTACCAGTCGTCCAGTTGACGAATACTTCTAGGTTTCGTTATCCTTTAACCTCTGCACTAGTTTACATTATCCTTTAAGATGGAATTGCGTCATCGTCAGCCACTGCGCCTCGCTCCTTCTCTGTCCAAGTCCTCTTTTAAGCTCTAGGCTTACCAGTAACTACGAGGGGGCACGCTCTTTTCCTCTTTACCAAGGTAATATCCCAGATGCCCCACACTCACGCCCTCTACAACTCCGGTATAGTTCTCAAGTACACCGATATGAGGCGATTACTGCCAGGTTTACGCTCTGCAATAGTATGCCAGTCTCTAGAAGACCACTTATTGTGATTGAAGCCAAGCAACCGCCGAACAAAACCGATATCGAATCACGTGCTCTCCCAGTATATTTCCCATCACTCTTAAAGCAACGAATATATTCTGCTCTCCATTTTGGATCTACCTTACTTAAAAACTCAGCGAGGGCTGTTTATCTCGCAAAATCGAGAACAGCTTGGGGTTCCCAGCATAGATAATCAAAACCTCGGAACTACGACTAGTGCGGTGGGCAATACTCCAGAGCGACGATCGGCAGCCGAGGATCTGGAACCTCAGCATGTCATCATATAAAATCTAGCTATCAATTCTCACAACACCAGATAGGGAGTTCCGAAATCTCTAATTCAGTCTTATTTTCGTTCAATTCTCTTCACAAGTAATAATAATGGCGCCAACTCCAGATTGGGTGAAACAACTGAAACCATCAGCTCCTCATGGCAGTGGTCTTCTCGCCGCCGAACGCGCAAAATCAAATTTGCCCGTGGGAAGGCTTTCTGAACTCTTGTTTACAAAGGAAGTCCTCAACCGGAAGCAGCGTGTCCTAGATGTCCTGAAATCAGAGAAAGTATTCGACAAATCCCAGAATTACTTTGCCGGCCGAATTGACCGATTTGGGACCGCACTTGCGAGAGCAAAGAAATTACGGAATCTAAGGTTGAAGCACGGATGGGATTTAGAGGACTTTAGGACCGCGAATGAATTGGTCAGTGAGCCGGGGCCGTATGCATTACATGATAGTATGTTCTTGGTGAGTGCCCTAAAGTCCCCATATGCTTATAACCTGCTGATGATTAGAGAGGTTACGATAAAAGAGCAAGGCACTCCTGAGCAGCATGACCTGTTCCTCAAGAAAGCAGAAAAGCACGGGATTATTGGATGCTACGCCCAGACTGAGCTCGGCCACGGATCCAATGTCCGCGGTCTCGAGACTACAGCAACCTGGAATCCGGAAGACAAAACTTTCACGATGCATTCTCCCTACCTCACCGCAAGCAAGTGGTGGATAGGTTCGCTCGGGAAGACTGCCAACTACGCCGTCGTAATGGCGCAACTCATCATCGACGGCAAGTCATATGGGCCGCATCCCTTCGTCATGCAGATCCGAGACTTGAAGACGCACGAGCCTCTTGAGAACATCCATGTCGGTGACATAGGGCCCAAGTTCGGGTATAACACTATGGATAACGGCTTCCTTCTCTTCAAAAATGTCAAGATTCCTCATATTGGCATGCTCGCGCGCTTCTCAAGGGTTGACCCGAAGTCAAACAAGTACGTTCGCCGCGGCTCACCGTTCCTAGTCTATGGTACCTTGACTTGGATTCGCTCAACAATTGTTATGCAAGCTGGCGGTGTTCTTGCACGCGGGGTTACAATCGCCACGCGGTACAGCGCCATCAGACGCCAATTCCAAGACCGAGATGCCCGGGAATGGGAAGGAGGTGAGAACCAAGTGCTCAATTACACGATGGTTCAGATTCGTCTTCTTCCCCTCCTCGCTGCTACGTTTGCTCTGCATTTTACCGGTAAGTCTATGATGAACTTGTATCAAGAGAATCAGAAGAAGATGAATGCTGGCATTGCAAATGCGGATTCAAGTAAACGAGGAGCTGGACCTGAAGAGACGGAATCAGGAAGTGATTTACTCGCTGATTTGCATGCTACGTCCTGTGGCCTGAAAGCGCTTTCGAGTACGATTGCAGCGGAGGGACTTGAGGTGTGTCGAAGGGCTTGTGGCGGTCACGGATACTCGAGCTTCAGGCAACGTCTCTCCTTTAGTTATCAGAGCATCGCTAACGAGCTTCAGCGGGATTGGTCCTTGGTATGCAGACTACCTCCCCACCACCACCTGGGAAGGCGACAATTACATGCTCACGCAACAAGTAGCCCGCTACGTAAGCCACGTACCTTCCCAATTCCCCAATTATCCGTCTAATTCTCTATTCAGCTCCTCAAATCCGCCCGCTCAGTCCTCAACAATAACGCCCCCACCAACGATACCACCCGTATTCTTAAAGACTTCCGATCCCGCGCAGATATCGGCTGCGCCTTTGATATCCTTGGCTCCGACTGCGACCTCGTCTCGGCGTTCGCCTGGCGCGTTTCGTTCCTCACTTTCGAAGTACTCAAACACCGAGACGAGCAAAAGAAAGCCTGGAACGACCTACTCGTCGATTTCTACCGTCTCAGTAAAGCACACTCGCAGTTCATGGTCGTCAAGAACTTCCACTCCGCCTTAAGCGAGAACTCGACGCGCGAGAAACTGGACGACGACACCCTGCAAATCATGCACAAGCTCTTCCGCCTCTTCGCCTTACATACGCTTGAGCAAGAAGGCTCCGAGTTCTTTGCGTCAGGCGCTTGCACGGTAAAGCAGATCTCTCTCGCGCGTACTAATGCCGTTATGAAACTCCTCCAGGATATCCGCCCGCATGCCGTGGGACTAGTGGATGCGTGGGCTTTTGATGATTGGGTGCTAGATAGTAGTCTTGGAAGGAAGGATGGCAAGGTGTACGAAGATATGTTTTATAGAGCAAGCGAGCTGAATCCGTTGAATTGGATTACGGTGGATCCGTACCCAGATAGTGAGGTACTATTTCGGAGGGATGAAAGGAGTAAACTTTAGACCAGTGTGATTAGGGGGCGGAGGGGGGCTCGGGTGAAGTTGTCATACATACACGCACCCATGACACCTTAATGTGTCACGAGATACCTTCAAAATAGGATCACACACGAACCCCATAAGGATAGTTCTGCAAGCTGGTGAGTGAACGATTTAGTCCCGTTGTAGCATGGATACGTAAGGCTGAATGCCACGTCAGAGGCTATTCGGCCTGAATTTGTTCCGCAGCGCGACTCCAGCCAATTAGAAAACTAGGAGTTAGGAGTCTCCAAGTCGATGCGAAATACGACAGTTTCAGGCCGAGACTTGAGCTTGCTGATCTTCAGGTACGGATTGCAAGCAACAAATTCTGGAAGAGCCTAATCCGACTGAGGGACAGAGAAATGGGGGTATATAAAGGATCAATATTATCTTAGTTTTCGATAAGATAACTACAAGATTTCGAACCAAGGAGAATCATGGCTACCGAATCAGTTCCCTACAATCTCAAAGAGCTCATCGAAATCGACATGCTCACTGTCATCGACAAGCCCATCATCGATGAGGTTCTTGCTAAACCGCCCTTCATATCTATCCCAGGAATCATCAATCTCCGCGACATTGGCGCAAATGCCTCTCCGTTCCTCAAGCCCGGCTTGATCTACCGCTCGGGGTCTATCTCTTCCATTCCTGAGGCCAGTCAAATTCAGTTGAAGCATGAGCTTGGTATCAAGCTAATCCTGGATCTGCGAACCGAGAGAGAAATCCAGAGGTCTCCAAATCCAGTCATCGAAGGGGTCAAGAATGTACATTTTGAGAGTAGTAGGGCACCGACTCCGATTGACATGGAGAAGTTTGTAGAAGAGAATGGGAAAAGGGGGTATGTGGAGATATATGCGGAAATCTTGGAGATTCATCGGCCAAGTATTAAGGCTGCTTTAGAGTGGGTTAGGGATGAGCAAAGTCCCATACTGTTCCATTGTACCGGTAAGTGTCCAAACCCTGTCGTACCATCACTTCGTCGGGGAAGCAAACTCAAAGTCTAACTTGCATTATAATAGCTGGCAAAGACCGCACCGGCGTCCTAGCAGCCATCATTCTTGGTCTCGCTGGTGTACCGACCGATGCAATTGCATATGACTACTCGCTGACCCGGCTAGGCATCGAGCCATCTCGTGAGTCCCTTATGGCTATGCTAAAGATGTGGAATAAAGATTGGGGTTTGGAAACCCCGGGCATTTCAGGATTCTCTCAAGTGAAGGGGAGCTTCATGGTGGGAACTTTGGAAATGGTGGATGAGAAGTATGGTGGGGTGGAGGGGTATGTCAAGGGGGAGTTGGGATTTTCGGACGCGGATGTGGAGAGGACTCGAAAAGCAATCAGGGGCGAGTAATGTGAAGATCCGGATTGAATAAATACCCGCGAAAAGAGAAACATATTCCAAGAAGCTGAGTGGAGATATATTACTTGGGACGTAAGTCTCAACTTCCAAAGCTACAATACTTCAAGGCCCAGGATTTGTAATGTTGTAATGCTAGAGAGAGTATGGCTATCTCTGGTACCTCCTGGCAAGTTTTGTGTCTGGGGCGAGTAGAGCGAAAAGGGGCAAGCAACCCTGCGCATTAAAGAGAAAACTTCTTGGGTGTTCCATGGAACTGCCATCCTTGGACGCGGGCGAGACTTTGATGTCATGGTTTACGTTCTGATTGTCTCCCAGTGTTTTCGTTAGCGAAAGGGCAGAGTCAACCGTTCGCTCGCATCAGTAAAAAGGAGGACAAGTTAAATAGGCTGAGACGGGGTAGTTAGTAGTCCAGTCAGTATCAGTGGGGTGAATGCCAAGGCCTTGCACGTTGCCGGCCGATCGGATCTTATTTGCCTAGTCACGGGACCCTTGCTTCGGTTGAAGCCGTCCTTCCTTGGCGGGCAGCTCGACTAACGAACGACCTGCTGCGCTGTTTTTCTGAGACCCTCACCGAAACTTTTCTCTATCAACACACAAACAGCCCTCTAATTTTCCCACCTTCCTTCTCTCACATCCCGCAGCCATGGCCGCTATCGCAGAAAAAGTCCCTGTCAAGGTTCCCCCACCAGCTTTCTCCGACATTGCGAAAGCTTCCAACGACGTAAGTTTAGTGCGGCGTCGAGGTCAGTCAGCTGTGCCAATTGCTAACGCTTATCGTGCAGCTCATCAACAAGGACTTCTACCACACTGCTGCAGGTATGGGATGTCCATTGGCGCAACATTGCGACTGCTAACGCCCGATCAGCTGCCCTCGAGGTCAAGCTGAAGGCCCCCAATGGTGTTAGCTTCACGGCGAAGGGAACTTCAGCGCATGATGGTCCTGTCTCGTCATCTGTGAGTTTCGTTGCAATGCCCTCCTCTACGGCCATAGCTAATCTTTGCGGAACAGCTTGAGGGAAAGAAGGGCCTCAGCAATGGTATTACTCCACGTTTCATTCCCCGCTATGTTCTACTATCGGTACCCGTTCATTATTCCTCCCAAATTTCCTCGGTTATATATCACATGTCTGAGCCGCCGGGCAATCTCACGGCGAGTGGATTGAACGTTCAGCTGAGACGCGGTTTCACAGGTATCAGCATCACCCAGTCGTGGAATACCGCCAACATGTTGGCCACCAAGGTCGAGCTCAACGACACCTTCGCTACTGGATTGAAGGCCGAAGTCCTCTCCAACTTCAACCCCGCGGCTGGAAACAAGGGACAAAAACTCAACCTGCACTTCAAGCAGAGCCTCTTCCATGGTCGTGTCTTCGGAGATCTTCAGCCCAGCGGCAAGGTAAGCGCAATCGCTGATCTTGTTATGAGCCACGAAGGCTTCATGGTCGGTGGCGAGGTGGGATACGACGTTCAGAAGGCCTCCATCACCAAGTACTCTGGCGCTCTTGGCTACACCACCGGCACTTACAACGCGGCCATCACCGCTACCAATTCGATGCAACTCTTCACCGCTTCGTACTACCAGAAGGTCAACTCGGCTGTTGAGGCCGGCGCGAAGGCTTCTTGGGATGCGAAGAGCGGGAACACGGTCGGCCTTGAGCTTGCTGGCAAGTACAAGATCGACACCTCTTCCTTTGCCAAGGTCTGTATCCTACTCCAACTTTGACACAGATAGGCCTGCTAACGATATAGTAGGCCAAGATCAACAACCTCGGTATTGCGTCTCTCGCCTACAACACCAAGGTTAACAGCGGCCTCACCTTCGGCATTGGTGGATCCTTTGATACCCAGAAGTTGAACGAGTCTGGCCACAAGCTCGGCACCAGCTTCACCTTTGAGGGTTAGGTATAAATCCTCATTCCAGGCAAGGTTGGCGGGAAATTGGGGCAATATAGAGGTGGACAGGGGTAGTGAGCGAGCAGTTTCTTAGATGCTCTGCGCATTCTTGCATTCCGGCATGTACAACAGTCCGTCTCAATGCATCCATTCAGTTCATGCATTTAGCAATTGCCGTGTCGTCTATCCTCCCAATATTGTACAGTCAAAATGTACGACAGGACGTCCGGCTCTCTTATGAGCGCTCCGGGGCCCTCTCATTCCGTTTAGTAGTTCTGGGGCTGTTGTCATTCCCCATGACCTTCGCCCCGAAACCAATGACTCCCAAGACACCCGCAACAACCACAAAATTCACCAACATGCCATCTCTATCAATACCATCCGGGATATGCTGTCCCCCCCTGGATCTTCTTCGCCCGTAGATATGCTCATTGATATGATCATGCGTCTTCTTATGCTTCTGGTTGTTAAAATGTGGGACCTCATCCCCCTGGCCTGTCTGTCCTGGGCCAAACCCGCCAAACCGCCCATAACTCCCTTGATCCTCCTTGGCTTCTTCCCCACCACCAGGAGTATTATCATGGGCGTGGGCAGTCCTCTTAGCATGGTGTTGCCCATACCCACCGTTTTTATAAAAACTCGGCGGTGGTCCTCGAAAGGTACCCCTCTTCTTACTCAAGCCACTCGCAGGCCTGCTCCCGGCAAACCCCGCACTACTATACGACCCTTTGTGATGCGCATAGTGGTGATGGTGATGCAAGTGCTGTCCGTGTAGCTGTGCATCGTATTGTGTGCGCTTTTCGGGCGACGAGAGCACGTGGTATGCTTCGCTGATGCGGACGAAGCGGGTGCTGGCGGAGGCATCGTCGGGGTTCTTGTCAGGATGATGTTGTTTAGAGAGGGCGAAGAATTGGCGCTTTATATCCGCAAGAGTCGCGCTAGGGGTCAGGGAGAGGATTTCGTAATGGTTCGGGGTGCTATCGGAGGATCTGGTGGTGGATGTGTGGAAGGAGGAAGCTTGATGGCGAACTGGCGCGGTCGTGTGAGGGGTTAGATGAGGGTCGAGATATCGATGTTGAGGCGGTGGACGAGACGATGGGATAGGGACCGAGCGCCCGAAACGTGCCGAGCGGAGTGGCATCCCTCATTCCGAGTGCTGTGATGCCCACTGCTGGTGAAATGAGTGACTGGGAGGTTTAAAGTGAATGGCTATTGTTCCAGACGTCATTAGCGGCAGGGATTGGGCGGCATGTTTAAGCGAACATTCCGAACGCCGTGTGGGTGGCAGCGGCATTGAGTGGCCGTGGCGGAAGTCAAATCCCCCAGCCTTTGCTCGCCATCTTACGTTCCCTCTTCACAACCACCATGGCGGCTACGGCAGCAGAGGGGATCTCCAGCTTGAAGCGTAAGACCTTGATTACTATTCCCTCGAGTATGGCTAATTCGTACAGTGGGCGAAACCACCGGCAAACCCGCCACCAACACCACCAAAATTGGCGAAAAGGCAGACGATGTAGACCACGAAGACTCGGACGACGACGCCGAGGAGGCCGATGGTACCCCCGGCGCAGCCGAAGACGGGGCGAAGAAGAAGAAAAAGAGGAAGCCAAGAAAAAAGAAGAAGAAAAGCGCAGCAGCCACCGGGCCGAAGGTGCAAACCTCCCCGCCTCGAGTCCTCATCCACGAACTCTTTCCTAATGACACCTACCCCGAGGGGGAAATCTGCGAGTACAGGAATGAGAATGCGTATAGGACGACAAACGAGGAAAAGCGCCATCTCGACCGCATGAACAATGACTTCCTCACCGACTACCGTCGTGGCGCTGAGGCGCATCGCCAGGTGCGGCAGTGGGCGCAGAATTGGATCAAGCCAGGCATGAGCTTGACTGATATTGCCAACGGCATAGAAGATTCGGTGCGTGCTCTGACAGGCCATCAGGGTTTGGAAGAGGGTGATGCCATCAAAGGTGGGATGGGTTTCCCCACCGGCCTCAGCATCAACCACTGCGCAGCGCATTTTACTCCTAATGCAGGAGACAAAAAGATCTTGCAGCAAGAGGATGTCATGAAGGTGGATTTCGGAGTCCACATCAATGGCAGGATCGTCGACAGCGCCTTCACTATGGCCTTCGACCCTGTCTACGACAATCTCCTCACCGCCGTCAAGGAAGCGACAAACACGGGAATTAGGGAGTCTGGCATCGATGTCCGCATGTCCGATATCGGTGCGGCCATTCAGGAAGTCATGGAGAGCTATGAAGTCGAGATCAAAGGGCAGATGCTCCCCGTAAAATGCATCCGCAACTTGAACGGTCACAGCATTGGAAGGTATAGCATTCATGGGGGAAAGACTGTGCCTATCGTCAAGGGAGGTGACCAAACTAAGATGGAGGAGGGTGAAACCTTCGCTATCGAAACATTTGGAAGTACCGGGAAGGGCTACGTTAGGGATGATGTATGTATTTCATTGCTTATAATACCTTATTCGCGCATACTAACGAACATAGATGGAAGTATCGCATTACGCGAAGCGCGACGATGCGCCAAAGGTTGCGCTCAGAGTCTCGTCGGCCAAGACGCTATTGAACTCAATTACGAAGAACTTTGGTACCCTGCCGTTCTGTCGACGGTACTTAGATCGTCTTGGACATGACAAGTATTTGCTTGGGGTACGTAAACTCATCTCGACTCGCAGAAATTTGCTAACGAATCTTAGTTGAACAATCTCGTCTCTGCTGGAATCGTGGAAGCGTATCCTCCGCTTTGCGATATCAAAGGCTCTTACACTGCCCAATTTGAACATGTGGGTGATTTGAATATAAATTATTTTATGGGTGGAGCTGACTTCCAGTAGACTTTCATCCTTCGACCCACGGTCAAAGAGGTCATTAGTCGCGGCGACGACTACTAGGCTGGAAATTATGCGACAGCTGCATGACGATCTACGTGTTCTTTCTATTCAAGGCAGCATTAGTAGACTTGCAAGATAGTTTTAAACATTAAAAACGACATCAAATCTCACGAATCGCTCGCAGGGCTATCTGCTTGTGGCGCAGCCCGTGTCCGATGTTGCTGCTACTACCCCGATTTGACGACCGGCCAGGGCGTAGAACAACCCGTTAGAAATCAAGAACTTCATGCCGGTACATAAATTGATCTAACTCGGGCACTCGAACAGGGCTTCCCCACGATTTCGGTAGTTCACCCTTGCAATCGTTTGTCAAGCAATTAACCGTTAAGAGGTCTATAGGCTAGGAAGGAATGAACCGGGTTTGAATGCAACACAGGTCAGGTATGTTCGAGGAAGAACTACTATCGGGAACACAATACCAGATTAATTCCACTATATCTTCAGGCTTGGCTATGTAATTCGGAAGCAGGTGGGTGAGTTTGCGATGGATATAAGATACGTTAAGACTGTGCCTGCCAGTTAACCACATCTTGTCCTCCTGTCGCCGCACGTCAAATAGCCAGTCCATATTCAATCCCAAGATGAGATTCCTAGCTAGTCTGCTGCTCACGGTAGCAGCTGTTCAAGCTCATTGTTAGTCATTTTCATTCCAAGAACTCCCCCAAAAAAACCCTAACAAAGTTATGCAGACACCTTCCCCAAACTCGTCGTCAACGGCAAGGCCGAAGAAAAAGACTGGTCCGTCACGCGCATGACCAAGAACGCCAACAGCAAACAAGGCGTCGAAAACCCTACCAGTGCAGACATTCGTTGCTACACGACCCAAGACGCAGGCTCAGTAACTGAAGTTCCTGCGGGTGCCACGGTGCATTATATCTCCACGCAGCAGATCAATCACCCCGGACCGACACAGTATTATCTTGCGAAAGTCCCTTCTGGTAGCTCGGCAGCAAAATGGGATGGATCTGGTGCGGTGTGGTTTAAGATTAGTACGACGATGCCATTCATGGATAAGAATAAACAGATGACTTGGCCGGGGCAGAGTATGTTCCCCACAGCCAACTTCTCCTCTCTCCAAACTGACATTCCCTCCTTCGTAGACGATTATATAACTACCAACGCCACAATCCCGGCCTCCGTCCCCTCGGGCGAATATCTGCTTCGCGTGGAGCAGATCGCCCTGCATTTAGCAATGAAAAGCAATGGCGCTCAATTCTATTTGGCTTGTTCGCAAATCAGGATCACAGGTGGGGGAAATGGGACACCAGGCCCGCTAGTGAGTCTGCCTGGTGCTTATAAGAGCAGTGATCCGGGGATCTTAGTCGATTTAGGTAAGATCAAGGTGGAGGAGTATAAGCCTCCGGGGCCGGCGGTTTGGTCAGGATGACACCTAGGAGTTGTAGAGGTGAGGGATAGGTGTGAACTTAGAGATGTTATATGAATATGATGATACTGTATCCCTGCATGCTTCGAGAATAGCTGCGTGGTGTCCTGGTCAGGGTAGAGATGGACCTTGTCAGCAAAATCATCACCCAGCTAGATACAACTGCTGTAGAATGAAGCGATATGCAGCCCGAAATGAAATCCTTGATCAGCAGCTTCAAGAACTGAACGATTTGAGTAAATAAATAGGTATCAATAGAGACGAATTAGTTCCTTCACTAAACTTTTTTCAAAAGAGAATGCAGGAGGAAGATGTTAAGCTGCACAGCGAAGGTGAATAGCAGCAACTCTTTCAAAACTCAGTGGGTCCTAGAACCGCAGCCGTTTCGAAGGAATTCACCCATTACTGGTCCAGTTTTCCTTCGTCAACGAGAGACGACAAAAAAACCAGTATGTTTTAGTTCTTGATGCATCTGCCCGTTGCCCAACCTGCTCCGATTATCATCCAATGACTTAGCAGAGACTCTACCTCGATCAATCCATCTAATAACTTCCACACTAGAGCACAGAGTGTGAATTCAGTATGTTTATTCCAAGTCATTGTCAACTTTTCCCTGGTATCAATAAATTTTATCTCATATGGAAGCTTGTCAGGAGTGTTTGAGGGAACTCAGAAAAGCGGATATCAACCTCAGGAGACATTTCTTTAGATTATGATGGCTTTAATTTTCGACTTATCCTATAAATTCTCAGGCTTGAGCCATTTAGCTTAGCTTGATAGTTGACAAGTCACGCCGGTCAAGCCTGGGTCCGCTCCATGAAAGCATCTAGATTGCTTAAGTCTTGTTTGAAAGTACCGAAAGCACCCAGGGGCACTGGTCTCAGTCGAAAACAATGTGCCATGACGTCTATCGGTACCAAAAGCAGAAATATGGAGACTAGAGAATACAGACTATTCTTGCCGGAATTGAGTATGCCCAGGCCTACAAACGATCGAGTAAGCCTTATAGCCTATTAAATACTATGTAGATAGTGATATTCTAAGTCCAGGAAAGAAACAGTTTGTCAGAAGCTTTGCTAGCAACCTCTCCTCTTAAGGTCCAACTCCCAAGGATCTGGCCACAATGAGGAATCGCCGGACACCCAATAGAGAGGTTAGACTTAATAACATCTCCAGGCAATACGCATATTCGCCCACGCGATTTGGCCGGAATCCCGAGCCGGGGACGCTTTTTCACGGATTCTGACGGTCTGAAGTCATGGGTGTTACGTAGAAGAGGTAATGCACAAGTTAGACACGGTCTAATTGTATGCTTGAGTTTTCGCTTACTTTGGCTCTAAAGATATTAAATTATTGGAGAGCTGCGCCCGCTGCCTCTGCAAAGGTCTGATCGAGCAGTGAAAAGCGAGTTGGTTTCAGTAGACTTTTGTGAGCACTTGTTCATAGAACAACCGTGTTTAGCATAAAATGGCAATTTTCATGGAGAGCAACGGTTCTACCGTTTGCAAACGTAGTTTTGGTAAGGGATAGTTATATCCGATATCTTATTTACAATAGACTTACTTTTCCCTAGGCTTTATCTACTTAATCTAATAGTGGACTGTATGAATCTTGCCCGTTGACCCTGTTTCACGAAATCAGTGTCGAACCACACCAAGCACCTGGAAACCTCACAGAACAACCATTAACGAGCCTAGTCTTCAGCACAAGTATATCTGCACAACCCCCAGAACTCAGTATTAATCTACGTATCCCACATCCCTCACAACCTAAAGCTATTATCATAATGTCCTCCAAAAGGTATTGCCAACCAAGCCATCAAAGAACAATTTCAGGTTCTGAAAAATAAAATATAACCCATACTATATCCCACGGAGAAGGGGGGGGGGGAATACCGGAGGTTGAAGAGAGGAGGGTAATTACAAGCCCAAAACAGTACAAAAACGCTCAAAACGCCATGCAAGAACGCTTGAATACAGAAACAGAAACAACGGCGCCATATACGCCATGATGAAAAAGGCGATAACATTAATAGGTGATAAGATGCAGCGTTCTCTGTTAAAGCAGATGAAACCATAATACAAAGAGTAGAGTAGTGGTGAGCAGCTCGTTGCCTTTCAACGACCCAGCAATCCCGAAAACCAGGATGAGATATGCTTGCTACTCGTACTGGGCGTAAATGAATGCAGGCTAGCCGTATCAGCTCGCTCTGGTGTCGAAGGGACCGCCATAGGAACTGTCTTTCCGCGTGGACGGACTGTGGGGGGGGTTTTCGGGCTCGCCTTATCCTTGTCGCGGGGTCCGAAGAAGCTGGATCTGGGCGTACGGCGCTCTGGAACGATTGTGGTAGAGGTGGGCTTTGCTGTCGGTGGAGATGTTGCTTCGCTGGTTGGGGTTCCAGACATATAAGTTGGATTTTGTAAAGGTGTTGGAGACTCTGGTGCGGGTGTGGGCTCCACGAGTCGTATTGTTGAACTAGGAGCAGACTGGGAGAGATCATTCGGCGATATGTCTACAAGGCTCGGAACAGGTGAGATTGGAAGAGGTGGTATGCCGACTCTTACCCAAGGTCTTACCGAGTAGGTTCGAATCGGCATATCTAAGAATCCCAATCAGCACAAAGTGTGTACAGGGGAATAAGGATAGAGATAGGCTTATGCAGGGCCACCACCTTCTGGTGCCTGCGCCTTTGCTTCGTTCGCCTCTTCTCCGTTCGTAGGTGGTGCTCCAACCGCTTTGTTCTCCCCATCTTTCCTCTCTTCCGCCCCGTTTTCCGTGCTAGCAGCGACAGCAGCAGCAGCTTTAGCTCTCGCATTTTGCCTCTCCCAATTCTCTTTGCGGGCTCGCTCATCCTTCGCTTTGCGCAAGCGTTCGGCTTCTTCAACACCGCCACTCTTCTTGAGCTTGCCCTCTTCAACAAACGAGCCTAGCTCTTTCTTGAATTCTCCTTCACGCCTCTCCTCAAGCTCACGCTGCCTCGCTTTTTCAGCTCTTTCGATAGCTTCTAATCGTCCTTCATGGTTCGGTTGGAGTGCCTTGACCTCTCCCAAAACTCCATCTCGAGCCTGGCGAGGATCAACAGCTTTATCATATGCAACTGCATGAAGGAGATTACGTCCACTGGCAGAACGAGCGGTCCCTTGTTTCTCGTCCGTTTGGAGGTTCTGTTGCTTTGTTGCCTGCTCAACAAGCTCTAGCGTTTGGGCCGCTTTCTCCAAATCGTCCCGAAGATCGGCTGCCAACTCCTCCTGCATAGTTAGTAAATCCCTCTCTTCGCAGACCGTCTGCAACTCTTGCTCCCAAATCTTAGTCCAAAGTGGTTTCTCTTTAGCCAGGAAGTCCTGCAGCTTCTTTAGTTCGGCAGTTGCAATAGAAAGGTCTTTGGCAGTAGTTTCAAGTTGACGGGGCAGAGGCCGGACACCGCGAGATACAACATCTTTGCGGAGATCTTCGACGACATCCTGAAGATCGTCCACACGAGTGACGATCTTCTCAGAATCGTCTTGGAGAGTCTTCTTCCCAGCATTTACGTATGAGCGACCGCTATCGCCGGTGAGGGCTGGCAAGGACACTTTAATAGCAGTCGACTTCACAGCAGCAGCTTTAGTTCGGATGGCGGACATGCTTGCTTCAATGTCAGAAGCAAACGAGGAGTAAGTTTGACGCACAACCGCCAAGTCTCGTCGGAGTGATTGGACTTCGCTAAGCTGAGCAGCTGAAGAAATGGAGACATCAGATGACCCGTTCGAAGGCATTGGGGAACGAGGTGTAAGAACTGTTGAGACCCGCGCGGATGAGACGGCCGGCGCTGCCGCGATACCGGCAATTTCCTTTGCAGCTTGTTGCTGGCGCTCGGCAACACGTTGGATGGCGGACTGCTGGTCTGTGACAACTGTCTTGATGCTCTCGACTAAACGACTCAGTCCTCCGAATTTGTCGTCGATATGATGCTTAACTTCATCGAGCTGTTCGACATTAAGAACAAGAACTGAGCGGTCTTTAATGTCGTTGATGTCTTCGAGCTCATGCCGGACGCCTGAGACAGGATCCTGGATGTATATCTCTGGGAGCTCTCCGTTACGGTGGGTGTCCCAGGCAAACTTCTCTATGAATGCAAGTTGCAATCGGCCGGCTGAGAGATCAGATCCATCGGCAAAAACGTACTTCTTGATCTTGCTTCTGTATTGCAAGAAAAGGGTAAGCTCCTTGCCAGGTTGCGGTGATTGCTCCGGAATAAACTGGTCAGGCTGCGGGGATGGCGACTTTACCCTTCGAGATCCATTCCTTGCAGGAATGCTTGCAGGCTTCTGATCTTTTGTGGGAGAATCCGCAGGCAGCTCGACTGGTTCGCTCAACGGCCCGCTGAGGGTAGCACCAACCAAGGGTCTATCGCTCTCGAGGAAGCGAGAAGGTCCCAATTTGTCTTCGGGAGTCTTTTGAACAGGGCTATCTTCCGGCAACGGTTCGCGTGGTGGCTTTATACTAGGGGCAGAGCCCTGAGAACTTTCCTCCGAAATGCGCCTGGAAACATCAGTACCTTTCTCGTACGACGTATCTATAGGTAGTTTCTGGGCGGATCTCTGTCGACTGTGAAGTAGCGATCCTCTGATCCGAACAGCATTCATAGATTCTCGAGCATCCCTCCCTCGGTTCGGTATTGGCGAGTTCTGTGTCGGAGGAAGAGGGATTCCATTCGTACCAAGGTGCTTCTGGATCTGGTATGCGGAAAATCGTCGCGAAGCCCTTCTCTCCAGCTCGCCGCCACGTTGTAGAGCAGCCAAGGCATCTTGCTGTTTTGGGGGAGGTGGAGGAGGCGGGAAGTCTGAGACATTGTAGGCGGGTGGTGCTCGTGGGTCGGGAGACGTTGGCATGGTATCGTCGGGCGGATACGGGGCGATAACGGGGATTTGCTGCATCGTGTTGCTCGACAGGGAGGAGTCTGTCGAGAGTTGGCTTCCGGCAGTACCACGGTTGGCCCTGGGATTGGAGGGGTTGGCATCATATTTGTTGGGCGAGGATCTCCCCGGCACAGAGGATGAACGAGGAGGAAGATCGGGGCCATCGGTGACGTAGTCGCTGCTATCCTGTCGCGGAGGGAGTCTTGTGCTTGATGCTCGCGATTGTGGCTCCTCTATTTCGCTGGTGCTGCCGACGCTGCCCTGCCGAGGACTGGTCCCGTTGGGAATGCCATCCCGCCCGCTTCGCTGGCGTAAGCGCTGTTGTTTCTTTTTCAGTCCATGGAGAAGATTGATGATGATGTCCCGAATGCGTGGTAAGAAGTTGTCTAGGCTGGCCTGGGAGGCTTCCTGGCTGAGCGTCTCCTCCAGTATCCCTCGCAACAGTTCCGGGACATTTCCGAGGTCCTGGGTATCGACGCCGATAGCGTTGAAGGCGCGCGAGGCAATGTTAAATTCGTAGCCCAGACGCACGTAGACATCCGAGACTTCGCTTTCGGTGGCGGTCCCCCTCGACCAGAGCGTGAGGGTCTCGAGGAGCTGCTTCGTGGCGACGAGGAGATGGGTGACGCTCTTCTCGATCTGCGAGAGCTGCTGCTGGGGCTGCATGTTGGGTCGTGGTCAGCAGCGTGGTCGCGATGGTTTAGTTTTCACGGGTGGGTGCAGGCAATGGAAGTTGCCGTGGGTGACGGATACTCACGTTTTGCACCCGTCTCGAGTGCGTCGAGCGCCCAGAGCCATGCGAGGATCGTGTGCCAGCTTCTTCGCTGGTTAAAGTCATGCTGGACGCTTGCGAGGGCGGATACAGAGTGGCGTCCGAGTCGCGCGAGGGTGACTGTCTGTGTGATGCAGAAGAGGCGTACGGACTCTGCTGCATGTCTTGACGGAGGCGGTGGGGGTGTTCGGTGGGTGTTTGAAGTTCACCACCTGCGTCCACTGGTGAATCGTGATGGCACTTCCCGCATGTGGGTTTAGTCATTCACCGAGTGCACGTGACGTCGGTTCCCGAGTCCAGCCACTGTGACCGTGTTTCATCGAGGCCTGAGGGCGAGGGCTTTCCGTGCTTTTGCCTGATTGAGGTCGCTCCGCGTGGGCGTGAAGGTGGACCTGGAAGGGCATCCCGAGGTATTCACAATAGAGTCACTACTGGACTACAGCTATTGTTCCAGCCTCGAAGTCCATCGACACAGCACAACATTCTGGCGCCCACCGCAGACGCTGACAGGAAGATGCCGAACCTTTGAACCTTTTGCTGGGATGGAGGAAAGGGTGGAGAGGATACAAATTTCAGTCTGAATCAGATCCTTGTCCTGTTCCGTCATGGGCAGAATGCAATAATAGGCACATCGATCACAGTGGCCTCGGAGCAAGAAGCGCGCCAGCAAGCACGCAGCGCACGCTGATGTAGATGTCAAAAAGATGGCTACCCTTCTGCTGCTGTGTCTAAATATGAGCATGTCTTGTCGCCTGGGGTTTCAGCCCTGCTTGCCCTCAGTAATGCTGTATCTCGCAAGTCCGTGGTCAATTGCGCTGAGCGGCGCGAAGACGGCCCCAGGAACTGCGTACATTGCTGGCCCGCCGCTGGCAGTGGGACACATTTATTTCTTGCGCCCGCAGTTTGTGAGCCGGGGCTGGTAGCACGAAACAATCGCAGAATCCGCGACCAAGGTTTGCTTCCGTGCTGCCTCTCCACTCACCACACCAAAATAAGAGCCACGACCCTTCGCCTCCCACGCTCTACACTCTTACCCCCTTCGACCGCCCTGAGCCCCGTACCTCGCGTCCGTCGTTGCTGTTGGCTCCTCCACGCTTGGCTCCCGCCGCCGCTCCACTCCGCCATTCCTCAGGCCGTCTGTTTCGGGGCGTCGATCGCTCACTCGCTTTCTCGAAGCGCTAGCGTCCGCCTCGCCAAGGTTTAGCTAACGTTTTGGCTCTTCACTTCAACGCACAGCCTCTAACAACATCTCCTCCATCCCAACTCTTCCTTCAACTTCATTGCCCTTCTTCTCCGACACCGCTTCGGGCGCCTCTCACTGCATCGTTCATCTTCCCCTCAGCGCCTGCCTCTGCATTGGCCGGTCTGCGCTAGTCCCACCCCATCTGAGTCGGAGGCTCTCCTCCTCTTCACCCCCGATACCCTCCATGTCCTCCGCCGCCGCCACCGCCGCACCCTCTGTCAACGGCTCCAATGTCAACGGGCCTCTGAATCCATCCGCATCCTCTAATTCCTCTGGTGGCCGAACACAACTGAAGATGAGCGCTCCCGGCAAAGGCGCCGACGGTGTGCGCAAGCAGGCTGGCAGTCCTGTTGACGGAGGTCAAAGGTGAGCTCTAATCCCTCCCACCCTGTCCCAACCCTTACTCGCACGCCCCAAACATCACCCCTTCTCGCTTCGCGCATTTTGGGGTCGAATCGGGCTACCCAGCCACGCCTTGAGAGCTCGTTGGCCGATATCTGCATTGGGCCACACTTTTTTGTGTGACCTGCACTCAGTCACATGGAGTCACGGTGCAACAACTTCGTTTCGCAGATTCCTCTTCCCCTAATCTACAACCTTCACGCTTCATGTCGATGCTATCGTTTTCACTTTTCTTTGAGCTTCGGTCCTCTGCCCGTGCACCCTTTGCTAACGCGCCAATCTTCTTTCCAGGAAACCCCCAGCCCAAAAAGCATGGACCCAGGGCACCAATCCTATCACTCAGCGACCCTCTAACCTAAGTAATTCGAACGGCGTGGTAAACACTCCCAAGCCCGCGCCGAACTCCTCAACACTCTCCGGAGAGACCGCATCGCCAATGAAGCACATGAATGACAGAATGATGTACTTGTTGGCAAGTCTCACGGTAAGCCAGAGCCTCTATATGACTACATAGATGACAAGAAACAACTTAGTTGACTTGTCTGTTCCAGGGGCTCCCTAGCAACATAACTCTGAAGAATGGCGAGAAGTATACCGGCGTGCTGTCAGGCACTTCTCTGGACCCGACTGAGATGCGCTACGTCTTCAAGATGGTGAAGCGAGTGCAGCCAGCCAACGACGCGCAGGTCAACGGCGCCAACGAAATGTCCGATGACTACGTTGGCACTGGCGACTACCATGTCATGTCGTTCGACATAGGTGATGTTGCTGACTTGCACACACCCAATGTGGTGCTTGACAAGTCCCAAACTAAGGCTCAGAATGGTAAGTCAAGCCTGACGAGGCACGATACAAACGCTGACAGCGGTTCAAGGAGTTTCGCCGGGCTTCCGGACAGACACCGACATCTCGGGCAACATAGCCGTGCGCGAGCGAAACCTGCAGAAGTGGGAACCGTCTGCAGACGCGAATGCTAATCTCTCCCTTGAACCCACCGGACGGTCGACTGAGTGGGATCAATTTTCGACGAATGAGCAACTCTTCGGCGTCAAGAGCAACTACGACGAGAGTTACTATACCACCACCATTGACCGGAGTAACCCGCAGTATGCCGAGAGGGCTGCGCGAGCGGAGAAGATCGCTCGCGAAATTGAAGCCAGTAGTGCACTGAACGCCCACGTTCGCGAGGAACGTGGCCAGCTGTCTGCCGATGACAAAGGCGCAGACGAAGAAGAGAAGTAAGTGCTCGCCAAAGACGTGGAATGTCGGGTACTGACTGACGCAACAAAGGTATAGTGGAGTGCGTCGTGACTTCCCGCCCCTCCCGAGCGGTCAGTCCAACAAGTACATGCCTCCTGCCAGACGCCCGCCAACGAGCCAGCCGACGGTGCCAGGGGCTCCCCACGACCCTGCCATCATTTCGTCGCAGATTGCCCGCCCAGAATCAACCTCATCAAAACCAGTGCAACGGACCACCCCTCCGCCCATTGAGAAACGTGCGACTCCTGAAGGAGTTAAATCAGAGGTTGCGCTGAAGGTGGAAGGTGCACCCCCAGCCGCACCTTCCAAACAAGAACCTCTAAAGGACGCCTCTGCCAACCCCGAGACAAAGACCGCTCCGCCAGGCAAGCCTGTAGTTGAGCAACCCACCAAGCCCAGTGCCGCGTTCAAACCAACGGTCAGCGGTATTCCAGCACGAAAATCAGGGAGACCAGATAATGCGACGGCGAACGTGGAGCATGATCTTCTCGACTCGTTCAAGCAGTTCTCTGCTGCAGAGAAGTTGCGCATGTCCGAGAGGCAGCGATCGCTGGCCCGTGAATCAAAAGCAGTGAAACTCAATGACCTCAAAAAATTCTCCCAGAACTTCAAACTCAACACTCCTGTTCCGCAAGACTTAGTCCCTATTCTTGCTAAGGATGAGAACAAGCAACAGGCAATTGTCGAAAAAGCTCTCCGCGCGGTACAGGAGATGAAGTCCACCCCTCCCAAGGCAGCACCTACACCAGTAGAGCAGAAACCCAACCGAACAGTCGCTGCCAAGCCTGAGGCTCCGCATCCGTCCCCCAGCACTTCTGTTGACCGCCAACAGAATCAACGTCCTCGCCCTGGACAAAATCACTACGGCTCGGCGACTGTGAGGGATCGCACGGGCCCCAATCAGAACATGAACCAAGGCGCCCAACGCAACACTGGACTACTGAGCACACGCCTGCAGCTGAATCAACAGCAACACAAACAGCAAGGGGCTCTTCCCTTTCATAATATTCCGCATCCAATCCCGCAAAACATGCAAAACCCTCCACCTACAGGACCTTCCGCTTCCTCTAGTGGTGTCCAGACACCCACATCTAGCCTGTCTACGAGGTTCAACGTACGAGCACCAGACTTCAAGCCAAATCCCGCTGCCAGCACATTTCAGCCGGGAGGAAGCACAAGCAACAACTCTAGTCCAAGGCCCGACTCTTCCTCAAGGCAAGAACCCCCTCGAAAGCCACAGATTACAAGCTTCTTTGGAGGGCAACGGCCAACATCAGAACCATTGGATCTGACTAATTCATTCAATCCCATCAAGCGTATGATGAAGGAAGCCCATGACGAGAATAGGAGCCGAGAATATGCGAGCAACGGGGGCATTCCTTGCCCATTTCGCACGCCTCCGACATGGGATTTCCCCCAGACAAACCAGGATAGAAGCTACATTGACATGTTCGAGCGGACTTCTGTTGCACCGCCTGTATCAGCACCACATCCCTCGATGAGCAACGGTCCCATTCCTCACCAGCACCAGCTGCCTCCTCATCTCCAGGGAGGACCTCAGCATATGCCTCAGGGCCAAACTCCACAGCACACCCCACGCCATCCTCCAGTTCAACCTCATCACGGCCAACCTGGTCCCCATCATTTCGAAAGCCAGCACATGCAGTTCTCTCACTCCACGTCATCTGTCCAGCCGTCTCCAAGGGCAATGCCACCTTATATCAACTATGCCCAGCCACAAAATATGCCTGGATTCCCTCCACAAGTACCGATGCAAGGGTATGGGATGAGCCCTAACGTTCAGCACGTCGCTCTTCGACAGCAAGGGGGCCAACAATTTGTCCAGCCTCCCGCACCAGGCATGGGTGGTCAAATGATGACCAACCAGCCCTCCAACGGTCCATTTATGGGTATGCCTTCAAACCCTCAGATGCCGATGTACTCACCTGCTCCTGGTCCCGCGTATCCTCATTATCCCAGCGGAATGCCTGCTCCTCCAGGTACCAATGGTTTTCCAAGCCCCAGACCTGGAGGCGCGCCATTGATGAGCCATCAAGGATCACAGCAGGGTCACCAGCCACAGCAACTTGTCTACATGCAGCATGGCACCCAGGTGCCTCCAATGTTTGCACAGATGCCGCCAGGCCAGAGTAAGTACTGTCCATGATTATCACGATGTTCTTTGACTCACATGTCGTAGTGGCACCCATGCGCGGTCCATATCCCCAGCCGCATCAATCTCAGTATGGCTCACCTCACCAGCACCACCAATTCCCTCTTGCCCACCGTGGAACTCCGAGCGGTAACTATTCCCAGCCCATGATGCAACAACATTCTATGGGTCCTCAAGTACCTCCACCAACTGGACCTGCGAATCATGGCCCAGAAATCCACGAGGAAGTTAAATGAGCAATGGCACTAGGTACTACGTCGACCGCGGAAGGAGCATCGCTTCGCCACTTCTGCAAGAAGGGTCACTGGACAATAGCGGCGTACAATGTGCCTTCCCTACCTATACCCATTGGCCTGGATTCTTTGCTCTGCATTTAGCGTGGCTGATTCTGCAATTTACCTCTTTTTGGCTGCAATAAGCATGAGCGACCGGCGTTAATCGAGGAATGGGGCGTCTGGACGGCATCGTGATCTGATACGGAGCTGTCGGTTCTTCTCAGAACCTGCAAGGAGAGCTGGAACAGTATGGAATGGTTATGGCCGGGTATTGTTGTCTACAACAGCAGATGATGCGAGGACAATGAGACAAAACTACTCTCTTGAGTGGGAGAGACAATGTTGGAACTGCTTTCAAAGCATTTCGGCAGAAGATGGGGTGGTTGGGTTTGGGTGGAAAGGTGGTGGAAAGGTGGCTTCTATCCGTTAGCTAGTTATCCGATGTTTCAGACTGTGGGTCTTCCGACTGCAACGGTAGGTAGCTAGCTCTTTTGCTTCGGCAATCTTGAGCAGAATCACCCTTGCAAGTACTTAAGTCTGTACCTACAATCAAAAACGTGGCTTTATCATCCTACAGGAAATTGATACACTTACAAATGTGGATAAATGGGAAAGTCCCTTTTCCGAAGAGGAGCCCTAAAAGCCACGCATAAGTGGTTTGTTTAGGACGATACCACTTTTTCTCGATCTTTGTCCAGGACCTCAAAGACGTACACATATGCTCTCCTCGCCCCCGCGCCCTGCGTAACGAGAAATCGACTGTAGCGAGACTACTTCCACTGATCAGCATCTTAGGTCTTCCCTCGGGAGTCTATGAACTTATGACCAATTTTACATTATTTTTTCAGCCATTTCTCTGTAGATGCCTAGACTGTAGCCTAAAAAATAATTACGGTGGTTTTGGTCATTCTCTTCGATCGATTCTTCCATGGGCATGGAGGAAAAGTGCTTGAGCTGAACTCCGATGCTGCATCACAGACATGAGAGGATTCTTTGAATTTCGGAGCTTGAGTATGAAAACTTCAGGGACCAAGAATATCAGTCTAACCTTTAATAGCATTCAGCCTTTTTCAACTATCATTCCGGGTTTTTCTAGACAAGCGAGGGTGGACACGCCAAGACATGTCGTCTGATGAATGCTTATTTTATACTGTATTGAGAATTATGCTAGCCGTATACAAGAAAGAGTGTGGCGTGGGTTTCAGGGAGGCCGTGTGCCCTCTTACTTTAGGTACATGAGTGGCCATTATATAAGATGGTACTTCTCTTTCGTGATCAGAGTTTCCAAAGTTGTGGCTGGAGTAGGTCGACCTTTCTCCCTGCTTGCGTGATAGAGGCGTTCGTTCACTTCTGGCGAGACTCAAGTGGCAATTATTTAACATGAGATTTTGTACGTAGAAAGATTAGTCATTTAATTAAGGACGTATGCTAGAACCTTCGCTGGGCAAATTAGCAAGCTATATATTCTTGTCGATCCCCGGCCCACTATGAAATAGAGAGAATAAAAAATATAGTGTAGGAAGTAATAACAATATAAATGTTCTAACGCCTTAGGATGTGTTCCGATCAACGTGGCATATCCAAACCTTTCCTCTTATAGTTCCGATACCGATGGCCTTCTCGGATACTGTGAAACGTAATGGTCGATACTCGAATGGTAACCATAATAAGTTCTCTGAACTGTGTGTTATCCATACCTGATCTTTGCTCAAACCTGGGCATTCATTGACTGT